TCCACAACATAGTCGTTAAAAAGTCGGTAATAGCATTTATTAATGCAACAGTTTCCACTTGATTTATCTACCGAATAATACTGGCTGAGTCAACAACAAGTTGAAGAAAAAATAAACTGGTCTGGGTGAGAGTTAGGTGTTCGGTTGTGATTTTTTTAACATTGACCTTATCTTGTTACAATCCTTTTTTGTAATCGATGAGCCAGGAAACGGACCAAATTCCTAGACAACTTTGTAGTAAATATTATTACATATTGTTACGAAGACGGGTCGACTACAATGTTTCTAGATTTTTCCACTACTTAGAGAACTTTTCAGCAGGCTGAAATGTGATTTCTGACCGTTTCAGGGGAGGGTCAATCACATATTAGAAAATCGCAATTTACATAATGTTACCCTAGTTTTCAGGAGCCGTTTCAGAACACGTGTAGTCGAATGGTACACTTTTCAGGAAACCCGTTTTCAGGCGTTTTCAGGCCTGGTTATACCCCTTTGACGAAGGAATGTTCTAGAACGAATTTTCTAGGTGTGGGACAAGGATGGAACGATACGCGAGAGAGAGGGAAGATTGGAACCTTCTCGAAGCTAGACCGAGCACTCTAGAACGCCGTACGACAAGGACGGAGCAATGTGCGAAAGAGATAGCTAGTACGCACGTTCTAGAATTGTGCGATCGCTACTCAGTTGCACTGCCGCCTAGAGAGTTCTCGAACATCGCTCCCAGGGATATATAAGCGAGCCGAAACGCGACCGATTAGTTCAGTTTTGAATGCGATACCAAGCGATAAACACCGGAGTGACAAAGTGCGAATATAGTGAAGAAAAGTGAATACAAGTACTGTGTGAAGTGCGTGTTATTAGAGTAATTAGTGACATTATTTTGTGTGTGTATTTAGTGAATTTCAGTGCGTAATTATAATTTTTCGTGTTAACAAATTCCTCGTAGATTTAATTAGAAATAAACCCTTGAAGAAATCTACGGCGTTTCTATCCGATCCCCTAGCTCGTAACATTTTGGTGTCAGAAGTGGGATAGAAAAATGCCAATTACTCCAAGGGAGAATCGTGAGGAGTTTGTGGCAGAGTCTGCAGCAGATGCGGGGATGCAGATAAAGAAAACTGAGACATTAACATCTAAGTTTGAAAACCTGGACAGTAGGTTATCTAAACTGGAGAAACGCTTGCTTGAGTTAGAAAAGGAGATTCAGTGCCTTAAGATATCTGGATTTGTGGAATCATCTGGACCGCTGGAAGCACCTACCTTTAATGGTTCTTCTTCTTGGAGCGCCTACAAGGTACAGTTTGAGGCTCTGTGCAAGATAAACGGTTGGAAAAATAAACAGGCTGGGGCTGCCCTTATGTTGGGACTGCGAGGCGAAGCCCTGGACGTGTTAGAAGTCATGACAGGTGAAGTGACACTGACGCGACTGCTGGATGCTCTGGAGTCACGTTATGGGGACTCACATTTGGAGCCAGTCTATAGGGCTCAATTACGGGAGAGAGCGCAGGGACCGAGTGAGAGCTTGCAAGAATGGGGTCTGGAAATAGAGAAGCTGGTAAGGAAAGCCTACGCATCCTTACCAGATGTAGCAGACAAGATATTAATGCAAACTTTTATTGATGGAATAAGAGATCGTGAAGTCAGGTTGAGTGTGAACCTTGGTCACCACAAGAACCTGAAGGATGCTCTAGCCCATGCGTTGGAGGTGGAGGCGATTCAGAAAGATTCTCGACCTTACCGCATTAGGGCTGTCACGGAAAAAGCAAACTCGTGTCAACGTGGACCAACCTGTTACACGTGTGGGGAAGTGGGGCACATGAGGTTTTCGTGCCCAAAGAAAGAGTTCCGAGGTGACGTGAAGGTTAGACGCGGGAATACCTTGGTTATCGACGGAGTAGTCAATGGAACTAAGTGTGACTTAACACTAGACACCGGAGCTTCACGAACCGTAATCAGATACCAACTTCTGAAGTCATTTTATGGAAGCCCTTCTCGAGGAAATGTACAGCTTGTTACAGCTACAGGTCAGCGTATAACCGATCGGGGAGAAGGTATCGCAACCTTCAATATTGGTGGAAGATTTTACAGACACAAGGTTGTTCTTGCCGACATAGTAGATGACTGCATTATCGGGTTAGACTTTATGAAGCTGTACAATTGTAAAATAGATCTGGAAAAAGGAATCTTTAAGTGTGGAGAACAGGAAGTTTGCTTAAAAGGACACTCTACAAATAGTGGTTTTGACGTCTGTAGAGTTATCAATGTGGACGGACAGGCCAGTAATCAACAAGAGTGGAAAGTTACTGAGACCTATGAGGAAGCCTTGTCAAGACAACTATCAAAGGCAGAGGAACAATTAAGGAAATTTTCGGACATGTTATCTGCCCATGAAAGAGAGGTTACAAGAAGTTCAGATGTGTCTCAACGGCTATTTGAAAAGGTCAACAAAAAGGACAGAAAGGAGATTGGCCATGTGAGAACTTTTAGAACAGACACCATTCATTCAGATTGGGGTGGAAAATTTATGCAGATAGCACAGCAAGAAGATTGTGACATTAAACCAATTCTGGATTTGATGAAATCATCAGCTGTCATGCCGCAGTGGAGTAAAGTCGCATCTACAAGTACCACTACTAAGAGTTACTGGGCTCAATGGGATAGTTTAGTTCTACATAATGGAGTGTTATGTCGCAAATTGAAAAATGCTCAAGGCGATCATTTACAGATAGTTGTGCCAAGATCCAAGGTTCGCGACATATTGGAAACGTTTCATACTGACTTGTCTAGTGGACATTTAGGAGTAAAGAGGACTCTTATGAAGATTAAAGAAATATTTTATTGGATACACTATCGTGAAGATGTTGAAGACTGGATCAAGAAATGTAAAGATTGTGCAGCTATTAAGGATTCGCAGACTCGGTCTCTATGGGAAAGGATAACGGTGAAAGAAAGTGATGATGCTCGGGACGAGCATGTCTAAGGAGGGGGTAGTGTTACGAAGACGGGTCGACTACAATGTTTCTAGATTTTTCCACTACTTAGAGAACTTTTCAGCAGGCTGAAATGTGATTTCTGACCGTTTCAGGGGAGGGTCAATCACATATTAGAAAATCGCAATTTACATAATGTTACCCTAGTTTTCAGGAGCCTGAAACATTTTTTCATTTTGGCCGTTTCAGAACACGTGTAGTCGAATGGTACACTTTTCAGGAAACCCGTTTTCAGGCGTTTTCAGGCCTGGTTATACCCCTTTGACGAAGGAATGTTCTAGAACGAATTTTCTAGGTGTGGGACAAGGATGGAACGATACGCGAGAGAGAGGGAAGATTGGAACCTTCTCGAAGCTAGACCGAGCACTCTAGAACGCCGTACGACAAGGACGGAGCAATGTGCGAAAGAGATAGCTAGTACGCACGTTCTAGAATTGTGCGATCGCTACTCAGTTGCACTGCCGCCTAGAGAGTTCTCGAACATCGCTCCCAGGGATATATAAGCGAGCCGAAACGCGACCGATTAGTTCAGTTTTGAATGCGATACCAAGCGATAAACACCGGAGTGACAAAGTGCGAATATAGTGAAGAAAAGTGAATACAAGTACTGTGTGAAGTGCGTGTTATTAGAGTAATTAGTGACATTATTTTGTGTGTGTATTTAGTGAATTTCAGTGCGTAATTATAATTTTTCGTGTTAACAAATTCCTCGTAGATTTAATTAGAAATAAACCCTTGAAGAAATCTACGGCGTTTCTATCCGATCCCCTAGCTCGTAACAATATAAACGATGTTCGATATGTGCCAAATTCCTAGACTTGGTAGTAAATATTCTTACATATAAACGATGTTCGATAATATGTCCCTTTACGAAAGTAATTTCGTAGTCGCTCATTGTATAGGTACAGTCCTCTTAACGAACCGCAAATGAATTAACGTACTAAAACAAAGTAATGATGTCAAAAATAATGTTATTGTTAGCTGATACACAAAAAATATATAAAAACAATTAAGAGGTTAATAATTAAGTTATTATTGTTATGAAGATGATGACATCTTTTTCATTTCGGTAATCATGTTTTGATAGTGATATCCATTTTAATACCTGCCTTATTAATCTGCCTTATTAATAAAACAATTTATAATCGCCGAAAATTCCCAAAAAATTTAGTTTATTTAAATTTCATTTTTATATATATATCTATCAGGATACTTATATAAAATGCTATCTACATTCTTAATCTAATTCAAAAAGGTCTATGGAAAATCGTTGAAGAATATTTTTCACGTATCTTTACTCCTTAATTAGATTTTTAATAATAATTTATGTTAAACAAAGCGTTTGATAAGTATTTTTATAGCCTACGAACTGGTTATTATTGTAATGCGCGCACATTTTTCCGAGTGACCAGTAGGTTAACATATATGTAATAGTAACCAAATTCGACGCTTTAGACACATTTTATAGATGTAAAGTTTGTAAGTTTACGAACTTATAAGTTTAAAACTCATCTTGACAAGCATATTTCTGACTCCTTTCTACGCGAACGAAGTACTTACATAGAAGTTGATAATAAAGCAATAACAAAAATAATAGAATCACTGTATTTCCATAAATAAATATTGACGGTATCAATGACATGTACCTACCTACATAAATATTATAAGGAATGCCTTATAAATAGTGCATATATTTTTAATATATCATATTAAACTATCCTATTTTTTTCTTATAAAGTAAATACAATAATTATTTCTTAAACTTGGATTGACCAGCTGCCGCGTGAGTAGATTTGAAATAAAACTATCACAATCCAGGTATTTAACGTTCAAACAAGAAAATTGAAAAATAATTTAATAGCAGTAAGGTCTTAAAACAAAGATTACGAGAACAAATTGAACGTCCGCGCACTATATAAAAGTGAGAGAGACGTGCCGATCGCATTATATTGTATGTTATCGAAGACTGTGGACAGTTCTCAAATAATTTGATTGATAAATTGTGAAGTGATGTCGGTCCCAAATATGAATGGAACAAAAGTGAAACCGGCGAAGGAAACATTACCCGAAGTTGAGGTGGAAAGCAATGGAAATGGTCACAAGATGTAAGTTTGCTTTGTGAATATTAGTTTTTTTTATTAGTGATACAATTACGCAATATTATTTTATATTACAATAATTATGTTAATATTGTATCTATATCAAGTTTGTCTATCGTCTAATTAATCTTTAACTTTGAAATGATAATTACAAATGCAATTTATAAAATTACTTTAAATATTAGAGCTGATGCCCGCCGCCGTCATTTCTAAAACCCTATCATTTGGTATAGTTCATATGTTATCACTACTAAAATTTACGAAAATTTGTTATAAATTTTAAATTTTACCACGTCGGAACAAATGAACAATTCCACTCTTGCGTACTTTGTAATAAAACAGTACTTCATGATCGTAGTTCGCAAATAAATAAGGGTTAATTGGATACGAGATTGAATGGCATCTTTGTATTCTTATCAATAGTACAGATATTTCCTTAAGTAAATGAATGAATATACTGCCTTTAAATCGCTACTTATCGCTATGATACATTCTTCATATACAGAAAAAATATGATACTATAAAATGCATTGTTAAATACATCACAGAGCCTACGGTAGAATTTTCTTAGGTGGACCTAGAAAAACTAACTAGGTACATACAAAAAATAATCATTTGCACCTCATGGATCGACCCCCACATTCCCCGCATTACTTTCAGACGGCCCCAGCGCGGGGTTATGTAAATTGATTGCCCAACAATAATGGTTGTTAATAAGTTTCTCGATTTTTAAAAATGAAATATCATAAAAAAAATTCTTAGCTATCACTGAAATTGTATAATTAGAAACAATGTGAGTTGAATATAAACTATTCGTCATTCTAATCATTTGAAAGTTGCAAACCTTCCTAGGCTGGGAGCAACGTAGGATCACTCTGTAGGCCATTGGCATTTCTTAATGACAGGAATTTTTCTTGTCTATAAAGAAAAAACAAGTCCTTATTGTTTACATCCTTGTAAACCAGTTCTCTTCTTGTTGTAAAAGGCACTGTTACGTGTGCACTTATACGTATGTTATTAGGTAATTACTTTATTATTACAGTCACATTAAGTTTACTTAATATAATTGCAATAAAAAATATAAACCTTCAACCAAAATGCGTGTGACTTGCATAATAAATAGGATTAATTTTACATTTTTAATTCAGTAAATTAGTAGTTATTATTGAAAACAAAAACAATAAGGTCCTTCAATGTGTTTCAAACAAGCAAGAGAAAGAGAGCAAACAGAGAGTTCTGTCATGTTCTATTTGAAAATTTGACAGTTTGTCTTCACTTTATTTATAATGGCGACATCAGCTGTGTGTCTTCGTCGTCTTTATACCTATGTCACAAATTAAATTTTTGACAGTTAACAATATCATGAGATTATAATATTACGGCGTTTACATTTTATCAATGATTCAGTGGTTTAAGTAGTAAGATTTACAAAAACAAACTTTTAAAACATTATATAATACGCAATTTCCCATCTTGCAGTATTTAATCGTGTCATACGAACATTCCTACTGCGCCACAGGACAAAATTGTTAATAGTTTGGGATTCTTTGGTATATAGACCTTTTATAGGAAATATACTTTGCTTTGCTTTGCTATGTATGACACATAGCCGACGGACCTGACCGTATGCAGCTTAAAATTCGATTAACGTACAAAATAATTGAAATCGTTACATTTTCAATGAATCGAATATTTGTTAAGTAACTTTATTTGTTATGAAATTAATATTTAGATAGAAAAATCGAATGTTGAATTTTCCAAACGTCTATCAGCTAATTTCATTCCGTGTCACAAGTCAAATGTAACATTTTATATCCCGTTTCAATAAAACTGTTGTTCTTATAGATAAACGATCTTGAACTTTTTCTTCTATTGACTACATTAATTTAAATTATACAAAAACGAGATATTTCATTAATAAACGATTAAGCATTCATCGTATTCAATACGACAATAGAATACGATGATTATTTAGATACATATTGAATATTTTGTTATTATTCTATAACTAAAAAAAACAAAGGAACGCGACCTAGTAAATTAATTTATTACTAAAGCAATTAACTTGTGGGTTTTAATGGGGTGTAAATGCTTGAAATGAGTTGGTAAAATAAACAACTCTTGGTACGCGCCTTAGGCTTTAATGATTCCGAGGGATCTTTCTAGATGGGACCTATTTCTATGCCTGATTTATTAATTATTTTGGCATTAATAATGCAAGGAGATGATCTGCCTTGCGACACAATCTAGGCAATACCTATTCATTCCTCTGTGTGATAAATTAGATAGTTATTTATGGAAGGTAACGTTGGACCAGATAGACCTTTCTACACTGAAAAAATCGGCGTAAAATTTATTTCATATACCTACAAAATACAAACATACAGGTAATATTCATATGTGCGAAAATCACATTAACGGAGATGTTTGACACATCTTTAAAATAATCTTGTATAATATTATAATTAGGCTTAAACTTGAATCAAGCATTTGTGTCTTATCTAGTAATGTCATAAATTATCATAATAATCTATTGACAAAATACATTCAACCACTACTTTGGCTTTACTGTATTCTGTCAATAAATTATACTATATAGATTATATGTAGATGAAAAATACATAGATAACATAATAATGAAGCCATTGCAGAGTAGGCACGAGGGTCAATAGTAATTTATATTAAATTTTGGTTTTAGAACATGTATAATATTTAGAATACATTAAAATGTTGATATTATCTTCAATTATATTTAAAAAAATATTTCGTTTTATATCATGAAGATAAGATCTTGCCATTAATTGTCACTCAAAATATTTTCGTTTAATCTCTTGGCATTAAGTAAATTTTTGTTGAATTCTTATTGCTAAAATTAAATGAAAATAAGAAATATTAAATATTTTTTTAATTTTTGAGGTTCACAAAGTCATGCCTTACGTATCCCTCCACTCATCCGCTATACTCTGAACAAAAAAAATTACTTATTTGGATGGAAGATAAAATATCATATCACAAATCTGGCTTGTATTTAGTCATAGAATAAAAATAAAACGGTTACATTTATAAATAGATAACAGAGTGAAAGAATTGCTCTCGTGTTTTTATAAGTATTTTATAAATCTGAACTGATATGACGAATTCTTTTGAATATAATATATATCTCATAAAAATGCTTAATTTTTTAACTGACTTTAAAAAGGAAATTCTATCTTAAATTCTTCCTCAGGGTCCTTTTAATCTAAAGGGCATGGGGTAGATACATTTAAGCGTAATTTTCAGTGATCAAAGTCCGATAAATGTCGTTGATTTGTGGTTCTTATCCATGCGGGTTTTCCTACAATGTTTTTATTCAATGTGTCATGCGTTCATAGTAAGAAAAAGCTATTGGTGAAAACCAGGGTTCGCGAACGCACTAACACACGGTTAAGAATCGTATTTTAGTATTAAAATGTACACAGCAATAAACGCAAATAACAGAAATAGTTTTAACACTTTGTCATTAAATATTCTAATAATTTTATAGTCTTTTCTGGCGACATTTACAATAGTGAAGAAATATTTATCAGGAAAATGGGTTTTTAAATAGTAAATTTCTAAGTCAGGTTGCACTTACAACTAAAAAAATAAATACAAAATTAAAAACTCAGCCGATTTTAATGTTTTGTTATATTTTAATGTATATCGAATTATAATGTTTTTTATTTGTTAACAGGTACTCATACGAAATGCTCGAGGAGATTGCAAATTTCCTCCTGACGAAAACAGAAATTAGACCAATTATTGGAATAATTTGCGGCTCTGGCATGGGTTCGTATTGGAAAGACGGTACCTATTAATTACTTCCATTATTCTATGATAGATATGTATTAGAAAAAAATAATTCCTACATTTTTGAATTCAGTTAACTTACGATGCTTTTCCTTTACCGTGTGAGCTAGTGCATAACATCGAAGAAAACTTCATTGTAGCATATGTCTTAATATTTGTCTGAAAAATTGAGACTTATTTATAGCCAAGTAATCGTCAATTTTAGTGCTCGATTTTCCATATTATTGGAGTACGAATTCTATTTGAACAATGCTTGTTTGTGCGTCCAATTACTTCCAAACTCGATTTCAAATAATCTATCATTTCTATTCTTTTACGGCTCTTGTTACATACAGTTCATCCTAAGGGTGCTAGTCAAAGATACACTTATTGTTACAAACTCCTTACTAATAGAACCTAACGATTGACAAAATACTATCTTTTATCTTACATTCTTGTTCCAGGATCGTTAGCAGATACTATTACAGACGCTGAGCGGATTCCATACGAGGAAATACCAAACTTCCCCACAAGCACAGTAGAAGGCCACCATGGTCAACTTGTATTTGGTCGCCTTGGAGAGGTCCCCGTCGTAGCTATGCAAGGACGATTCCATTATTATGAAGGATACCCTTTATGGAAGGTAAGGTCTACTTGTGAAACGCTTAAATGTAATTACTCTAAGACCCGTAAAAATTATATTATTTGCAAGGCACATGTAAGAATCGCATCTTAAGACATCGGACGTTTCGATCAGATGAGATCCTATCAATTAATTTAATTATTAGAATTTACAATAAAATTAATAAGGAAGTTTCTTGATGATAAATGACGGCTCTCAACATAGGGCAATAAGCGATAATACTTTTAATATATGCAAATATCATTTGAGCAACTGAATATTGAAATTTATATTCTATATAAAAATAAGATTGGTATTAAAATATAAATTGACGAATTCCATAATTTGACTATATTTATAATCCGTCGTTAGAATAAATTTAAAATATTTTTATTGATGCAAAAAGTATCACTGAAATAAAATTCACATTGCATTTTAAATATATCATCACGCATTGTCCTTTTGATTGTAAATCAAATACGAATTTAAAATACGTTATAAGAGTATCTATGACTTGTATATGAGACATAATAGTATTATTAATAGCTAAGAAATAATGTTTGCAAGAGACGAAACACTAGCTTGAAAGTTGTTATCAACAAAATTTAATAATCAAATATTGTTATAGAGTAAGGTACAGCAGTGATAAATAAACTTGAATTTACTCCAGTATAGTCATCTGATTGGTAAGCTGTACAGATAATATAGGATGATGCAAGGGCGTATTGTGTCTCGACCCCCAGCGACGGGGTTATCTCTTTGAACCATATGTCGCATTTAGATAAGATTTAGCTAAATGCGAACAGAGTAGGTACTCGGTTTTAAGACTTTTTATGTACTGTTATCAAATCTTGACATGCCGCAACTTTTCCACTGTATTTTATCGGTATAATGGATATTCTGGATTTGCTTATGTAATCTTTAACCAGATAATAAGCTAAGTTTTTCCTCTTTAAGTTATGCGAAGAATTTCTACTGGGAATGAGTTAGATCATCTCCTACCAAAACATACTTTAATCGGTGCGATACGTATTGCGACGAAATAGGTTATAGTTTACCTGATAATACCATGTAGGTATATGTCTTAAATTAGTTATCAAGGAAATTATAATAAATATAAAATTCAATATCTGTTTCAGTGCTGTCTGCCCATACGGGTTATGAAATTACTAGGGGTTAAAACCTTAATGGCGACGAATGCTGCGGGTGGCTTAAACCCTTCATACAAAATTGGTGATCTAATGATTGTTAACGACCATATTAACTTGATGGGATTTGCGGGTAACAACCCGTTACAAGGTCCCAATGATGAGAGATTTGGTCCTCGCTTCCCACCTATGAACAAAGCGTATAACTACGAATACAGAAAAATTGCTAAAAAGGTAAAATGTAACAATATATATGTTTTGCTAGTGTATTACAATTAATTTAGTAGTAAAGCATGTTTAAATAATTAAAGTTTTAGAAAAAAAAGCGCGGGAAACTTCGTTCATGGTCGACGTTTTTTTTCACGGTGGTGAAAATTTAATTTAATTTTACTAGTTAAAACGAAGAGGAAAAGCTGGTAGTTTTAATTTTTGTATTATATGTAATATTTATATCATATTTGTGTATAGTGTCATCGTGTAGTCGGTAAGTTTTTGTAAATATTGTATGAACAAGCCCCTGACGGTCGGGGGGATGATGGCCATGTTGGCCTGAATCTCCCTGTGGAATCAAACGTATCTGTTGGTTCACAAGATGAGTTTTAAAAAATGGATACGGATTGTTCGTTATCATCTCAGACAGGTGAAGGAAGTCGTAAACGAACACGTTATTTGCGCCTTTGTAGGCAGTGTACGAAAATTAAGAAAAAGAAAGGTAGTGGTTGTAGCGGTGATTACTGTCAGTGCGAAAGCTTATGCAATCTAGAAGATGAGTCAATTTTAATCAAAACGGTTACTTCTAAACCTATATCTCAATCCACGTCATCTCCACACTCGCAAAATAATAATAAATCACATAACACATCCTCTCAACCATCAACATCTTACATGGAAAATTCAAATATCTCTCAAGACTCTAACGCGGGAAATTCAAACAACACCACAGCTTCAGTAACCAATACGGACCCCCGTTCGATTGGCCGTACTGAATATGTTCCTACTGATGTTTCCCCTTATTTAATACATGTTCAACGTTTACAAAGTTCACCTGACGACGGGACCATTCTCCATCCTATAACATTTGGCAATTTTTTAAAGCAGAACAAATTTAAAAATATTATTCCCGGAAGTGTAAAGCGTGTAGGAAGAAACAGGTTGGCAGTTGTCTTTTCAGATTATAAAGACGCCAATAATTTTCTTAACTGCAATCTTTTGGAAACGAAAAAGTTAAAAGCCTTCATTCCCACTTTCAGCGTAACAAGAATGCGTCTAGTTCGCGGGGTCCCTGTAGATTGTAGCGTAGAGGAAGTTCAACAAAATGTATCCGTACCTATAGGCTGCGGCAACATACTTAAAATAAGACGTTTAAATCGCAAGGTGAAAATTAATGACTCGGTTTCTTGGAAACCCTCTGAAACAGTTGTAATAACATTTGACGGGCAAGTTTTACCAAAAAGGATTTTCATGTGCTATAATGCTCTTCCAGTAGAGATATATATTTATCCTACGATACAATGCTATAAATGCTGCCGTTATGGTCATACCAAAGTTCAATGTCGTTCTAAGACTCCAATATGTTATAACTGTGGAGGTCAACATGCAGGTGTATCATGTGACAGGTCAGATGAAGAGTAATGTGTGAAGTCGAAGGGTCCCATTCAGCGATAGATAGGTAAATCATGTCCAGAATTTGTGAGACAGACAGAAATCAAAGTTAAAATGGCACAGAGCTGCATGTCTTATGTCAAAGCCAGTAAATATTTTCCTTCTGTTAAGCCTTCATACGCAGATGCATTAAGTTCTACAATTCCGGAAGTTCCAAAACCGGCATATTCTTCCGCAGCGAAGTCTGTATCTCGAAATAATTCTACTAATCCCTCATATGAAAAGACAGTATTCTTAAAACCTTGCTCTCCTCCTAAGCCTCGACATGGTTATGATCGTGTTGCTCATAATAATTTATTAAAAGACTTCCAAGTTCCAGAGCCTAAAAATGGCAGTGCTCTGGTTGGTCATAAAAATAAAGAGGAAGAAAAATCCGATGTCTTAGAAATGATACTAGAATTATTAACTACTTTAATAAACTCAAACTTACTGAAACCGTCCCACGTTGCCTCTATTAATGAAAAATTGAAATCAATTAATGTTATTAAAAATAATGGATTGCAAGATAATTCAATGGAATTGCAAGAGTGTTGTTCCAAAGAAATATGATTAAATTTCTCCTGTTGTTGTCGCGTTATCTGAGACGTGATTGAAGTCAAGGGTACCTATTTAGGATCCCTGGAAATAACGGGTGTTTTTTTTAGAGGTAAATAAAATAAAATAAAATAAAATAGCCTTTATTACTGTAAGTTTTAAAGTTAGTATATATAAATTAAAATTATAAAATATCCCTAATTACAGTGTGCCTTTCGGCAAAGGCCTCCTCCAATTCTTTCCACTGTGTTCTGTCCAAGGCGACTCTCCTCCAGTTTGGGCCTGCTGTCAGTTTTAGCTCGTCCTCCCATCGTCTGTATTGCCGTCCTCTACTTCTCTTGCCGTTACGTGGATACCAGTGTGTGACGATGTTGCTCCATTTGTTCTTTGAAGAAGAAGAAGAACGCATCAAGTGTCCTGTCCACCTCCATTTTTGTTGGTCTATTCTGATCAGTATGTCGGTTAGTTTTGTCCTACGCCGTATGTCGGTGTTTCGAATTTTATCTTTCCTCTTGATGCCGAGCATACTTCTTTCAACTGCATGCTGGAATGTTGACAGTTTTTTCCTGTGTAACTGTGTAAGGGACCAAGTCTCACATCCGTATGTAACACAGGGCAGTATACAGGTATTAAATACTTTTTTCTTTAGACCTATATTCATAGCCTTGCTCTTCATTATTTCTTTCATTGCCCAGTATTTTCTCCAGCCATTAGCAATTCTTTTGTGTATTTCTTTAAACATTTGGTCTTCGTGAGAGATTATTTGCCCTAAGTAAACATATTCTTCTACATACTCTAATATCTTTCCATTCACTTTGATTTCTGTCTTGATAGAGTTTGTCATCACCTTAGTTTTTTCTGTATTCATGGTTAGTCCAGCTTTGATACTTTCATTTGTAAGCATTTCAATCATAACCTGCGGTTTTTTTTGGGTTTTCTTCAAAAAGAATCAGATCATCCGCAAAGCGAAGGTGGCTAAGTAATCTTCCATTAATATTTATACCGACTTGATCCCAGCTGATATTTCGGAAAATGCCTTCCAAAGCAACTAGGAATATTTTCGGGGAGATAGGATCACCCTGTCTAACACCTTTGCTGATTTGAAAGATGCTTCCTAGTTTCTCTAGTTTGATTCTTGCTTTGCTGTGGTTGTATATTTCCTTTAATATATTCAAATACATATTATTTATTCCCATTTGTTGTAGGCATTTCCACATATAGTTGTGATTAAGGCTATCAAAGGCTTTATTGTAGTCTATGAAGGCGGTGTATAGTGGTAGATTGTATTCTCTGTATTTTTCCATTATTTGTTTTACGGTATGAATATGATCTAAAGTGGAGTAATTGGTTCTAAAGCCTGCTTGTTCTTCTGGCTGATTTTCATCAATCTTTTTACATATCCTGTTGAGAAGTACCTTTGAAAATATTTTATAGATATTAGACATAAGGCTGATGGGTCTGTAGTTATTGACATCCTCTTTAGAGCCTTTTTTATGGATCAATATTATATGCGATATGTTCCATTGTTGTGGGATGATGCCTGTGTTAACTATTTTGTTGAAGATATCTGTTAATAGTGGGCTTATCTCTTCTATGGTACCTTTTAGTAGTTCATTGTATATCATGTCTGGTCCAGGAGCTTTATCCAGTTTTTGACTTTTTATTGCTTTTTCCACTTCGCACTGTAGAATATCAGGTTCTTTGTCTTGTGTGCTATATTCTGAAGGGTTTATCACTTTGTTTTTGTTGTTTGCATTTGTCTCATAGTTTATTTGTTTACTTTGATCGGAATAAAGTGTCTTATAAAAGTCTGTTGTTGTCTCTAGAATGTCCTTCCTTTGAGTAAAACTCTTTTCTGCTTTCTTCAATTTTGGAATCCAGTCATTTTTCTCTCGTAGCCCTTTCATTCCTTTTCTTCGTAGTACTTTCAGAGCCTTTCTTGTGCCACCAGATTTTTCTATGTAATTTTCCAACGTTCTTAGTCTCTTAGATCTTTGGTCATTCCTTATATGCTCTCGTATTTGTTTGCTTAGTTTATTAATTTTTTTTAAATTTCCTTTCTTGTCTTCTTGTATCATTTCTTTTCTTTCTGCAAGTAGTTTTAGCGTTTTGTCACTGAGTTTTTTTGATTTATTTTTTCCATTTTGTTGTATGTTGCTAACACTGCTGGTCAGTTGTAATTCTAGGCTGTTATATTGTTCTGTAATGTGTAGGGTTTTGTAGGTTTCATTATTTGCTAAGGAGTTAATTTTAGTTTTTATTTCTTGAATATTTTCGTGTTTAAAATCTTTTTCTGTAGTTTTGTGTATATGTTTTCTTGATTTTTTAATGTCTTTTGGAAGTAGAGTTCCACGAACCATTCTGTGGTTAGTATTAAAGTTAAGATTTTGAATAATGTCTACGTCGACAAAGGTTTTGGGATTATTCGATAGGATGTAATCAATTTCATTTCTAGTTTTTCCATCAGGGGAGACCCATGTCCATTTGCATTTTGTTTTCTTCTTAAACTTAGAGTTCATTAGGTATAAGTTGTTCTCCATTAAAAATTCTGCCAGTCGTTGCCCATTCACGCTTCTTTTGCCATGGCCATATTTTCCAATTATAAAATCTTCGTAGGCTTGTCTAGTACCGATTTGGGCGTTGAAATCGCCCATGACTATAGTGTTTTTATTTTGATTGTTTCTTATGTGGTCCGCTAGAGTGTTATAGAAGAGCTCCGTCTCTGTTTCATCGGCTTGTTCTGTTGGTGCATAGATTTGTATTAGTGTCCATTGTTCTGGGTAGCCTGGGAGGAGTATGTTGAGTACAGCTATTCTGTCGTTTAAGCCTACAAATTCCTGGATATTATTCTTTAGAGATGCCTTTACAAGAAATCCTACACCTCTATGGCCAGCCTTTTCTCCTTTGTAATACATTACATATTTTGGATACTCTTCAATGCCTTCACCCAGTCTTCTCATTTCGCTAATACCAATGATATCCCAATTGAGGTTTTCAATCGCTAGTTCTAATTCTTTAAGACTTTCATCTGTTCTAAGGGTTCGAGTGTTAAGTATTGCTATATGTACCTTGTTTGATGGAGGGTTGTGGTCGCATTCCCCACGGGGACCAGCCGGATTGGGGAGTAATCTGTCGTTATTGTTCTGTTTATAGTTGTCGTGCTTTTTCTTGGTTCTGGTCTGCCGTGTGTAAGTTTTTTTAGAGGTATAGAACTTTAAATTGCAATAAATCAACGATGGATTATTGGACTGACATATTTTTTTTTTATTTGAATGATAATCTTGTGGCATTAGATTTTAAATATGATTTCTGGCATATGACTGCCACGGCTGGCTCGGATATAGTCCAATCTGGACGTCCAATTTTTGATGACTTTTTCCAACATTTGTGGCCGTATATCGGCAATAACACGGCGAATGTTGTCTTCCAAATGGTCAAGCGTTTCTGGCTTATCCGCATAGACCAATGACTTTACATAGCCCCACAGAAAATAATCTAGCGGTGTTAAATCACAAGATCTTGGAGGCCAATTCACAGGTCCAAAACGTGAAATTAGGCGGTCACCAAACGTCTCTTTCAATAAATCGATTGTAGCACGAGCTGTGTGACATGTTGCGCCGTCTTGTTGAAACCACAGCTTTTGGACATCATGATTGTTCAATTCAGGAATGAAAAAGTTAGTAATCATGTCTCTATACCGATCACCATTGACTGTAACGTTCTGGCCATTATCGTTTTTGAAGAAGTATGGACCAATGCTGCCACCAGCCCATAAAGCGCACTAAACAGTCAGTTTTTCTGGATGTAACGGTGTTTCGACATACACTTGAGGATTAGCTTCACTCCAAATGCGGCAGTTTTGTTTGTCGACGTAGCCATTCAACCAGAAGTGCGCTTCATCGTTAAACAAAATTCGCTTAAGAAAATCGGGAACAACGGCAATCTTGTTTTGGGCCCATTCGACGAATCTACGCCTTGCTTGATGATCGTTTGGCTTCAATTCTTGCACAAGTTGGATTTTGTAAGCACGCAAACCAAAATCCTTCCGCAAAATCTTCCATAAAGTGGATGGACACAGATCCAATTCCTGTGCTCGATGGCGGATGGACTCATTCGGGTCTTCCTCAATGCTACGCTCTACAGTAGCAATAACTTCTTCTGTACGCACCGTACGGTGTCTCTGGGGATGCGAGTTATCAATTAGAGTTAACGTGGTGCGAAAACGTTCCATGGTTAATCGAATTAACTGCTCTATGATGGACGATTTTGTCGACGATAAAATGGATGTAGTGCGCGATACGTATTCCGCACAGAACCATTATTTTCGAAATAAAATTGCACAATTTGCAAGCGTTGTTCAGGCGTGAGTCTATTCATGATGAATTGCCAAACCAAACAGAGAATAAATCATTTGACAGCTGTTAAATCGGTCGCCATCTTGAAATGTAATGCCAACTTAAAGTTCTATACCTCTAATAAAAACACTCTATACTTCCTTGCGAAATGATAGATTTGATGGCCATGGTGGCGTAGTATTTCTTGTCAGAAACTCAATAAATTTTCCTGAAATAGTGTTTTCTTCATTAATCTCTAATGATGCCATTAATAGTGTCATGGCATGAAAATTTAAAATATTTCTTCGTATTGTTGATAGTAATATTTGCGAGTGTGGAGAAGATATTGGTGACCTCGACCATATTTGCTTTTCTTGTTCCCAATGACCATTGGGAATTTTAATTCCTTTCTGAATTCCTCACAATTACTTCATGTTCCGTTTCCGACTAAAATTTCCTGCCTTTTGCTTTATCCTGTATTGTATTATAATGTATTATCTTCTTTCATAATCAATAATAATATTAAGATGTAATATGTTTGTGTACATATTTTGTTTTTAACCAGCTAATCCCTTTATTTCTTGATGTCTTTGTTTTTTTTTCGCGTGAAGTTTCCCAACCTTTTACTTGAAACTGGCATAAAGTTAAAACTATTGCCATAATATATAAAAAAAAAATGTTTTATGTTCAACAAATAGATGTCACCTGTGGAATCTTGAATCGCGGTATTGTTTTGATTTAAGAATAGTATAAGTTTTTCGAAGTATTTGCCGGCTTTAACTTTAAAGTCGTAGAACATGAGAAGACTGATTTGAGTGAGTAGATCTCCGGCTCGAAGGACCATGAACAAGAAAAAGGCTTAAGGCTGAGATATGGTTGTGGGTTACGATCAGCGACGTTCCGTCTTCCGTGGAGACATATTCACTATTAGTACTGGACTCGGTGACATCTATTTGTTGAACATAAAACTTTAATTATTTAAACAAAGCATTTTTGTGTTATCATATTTTATTTTGACTTTCGGATGTTTTTTAATAGAAGAAAAGCAGACTGACTAGTATTAATTGAGAAATAAGGACTACAAAACCCGTTTAGGGTGTGTAGACAACCTTTTAGGAAGTGGGTATCATATTTTAATGATAATACAAATGAGATAAGAACCGTGTGATTTTTCTTAGTTATAGGGCGCAGTATCTAGTACTATTAAGGCATTGTTATGATAGAATATATCAAGCATCTGTTCTTCCGAGTAGATAACCTTAAGTATTTATAACTCGATTATAATTTGAAGGTAGCCAAGGAACTGAATCTGGACAACATCATAAGGGAAGGCGTTTACACGTGCCTGGGTGGTCCCAACTTTGAAACAGTCGCGGAATTACGAATGTTAAAAATGGTTGGAGTGGACGCTGTTGGCATGTCTACTGTACATGAGGTACGTAAATAACACGACTTCTACAAAGCCTCAAGCCTTGAGATTATACTACTTACAAATTATGTTTCGGCAGCAGTTTTTATGTAAGTTATTCATTTGATTTCCAGTATTCCCACAGCTACACTTATAACAATAATATTTACAAAATTACACAATACATAAAAACCAAAAACAAAATAGACAATTTAAACAAAAAACACTATATTTTATACAAAAGACAATAAGATTCTCTATCTTTGAATAATTCCGATGTTAATAAATCTATTCGTGCTTAGCTAACACTTCAAAGATTTTCTACCTCCCCCATAACTGAATGAATACGTTTTGAATAATGAATAGGTTCAGCCGAATCAGTCTCCGTTACTTCAAAAAAAACATTTCCAATGTGTTCTCCAGCGTTCTAGCTGCGCCACTGAGTTTAGTAAAGCGGTCGAATGGTTTATAATAATAAGTTTATATTATTACTACTACTTTCAAACGTTTACACTTTTTCCAAATATGCATTATAAAATCGGTCAACAGTTAAGTGCAAAATTTTAGGAATTGGAAAAATGAATTGATGATGATGACAACATTATAATTTTACAGGTAATCACAGCGCGCCACTGCGATATGAAAGTATTCGGTCTCTCTTTAATAACCAACGAATGTATCACTAATTACGACGTAGAGGCCGAAGCCAACCACGAGGAGGTACTAGACGTGGGCAAAATGAGACAGGACCTTTTAAGAGAATATATTTCTAGACTTGTCAATGAATTCAGCAAAGTTTAACACAGGAAGAGAGCAATAAATCAAACGCGTTTATCTATAAAGGATATTGAATATGTAAAAAGTTAGAATAATATATAGATAATAGCGAAATGTGTATTTAATTCTATTGATCAGTGATTTATGTTTCCTTTGCGTCATATAATTCACTTTGTATAGTTGTAATTTATTTATACCTTTGATTGAATCTATAAAATTTAATTCTTTTTTTATATAAAAATATAACTAAAACTTTAATTTTAATATCTACTTAATACATATAATTTTATCGTTTTATATATGGTGCCTTACCTTTTTAATTTATTTATGACAATCGCTTTAAATGTTAAAATAGGTAAATAATTTATGTTTTCAATAAAATAAATATATTATTTCGAGAATTTCTTTTATCACATCGCATTTAATTCCTTTGCTACAGTGTTTATAATACTTAAAACAAGAGAGTAAATCGAAAGTTATATTAAACCCAAACTACAAGCTTTAAATCATTTAATAAATTGAAAAACAAAAACCTATCTTACATAACTAAAACTATTTCTTCGGAAACAGATGTGCGCACTCCTTGCAAGCCGCATCAATATTATCGTATTTGTATTCGAAGCCATATTCTAAAACTCTTTTCGGTGTTACATGTTGTCCTTTTGTCATCAACATTGCCCTTTCTTCGTGTAAGAGGAAATTCAGTAAAAATTCCGGAACCGGAAACAATGCTGGCCTTGATAACGCTTTCGCAAATGCCTGTAAATATTCAACTATTATTTTTATGAAAATATAATTACAAAGCCTCTCGTGTTGTGAGTAAGAGTCGATTCGAATAACACGAGAGCAGGTGCATGATTGACAGCTTTATATGCTCATAAGTGTGTACGCCTCCAATTTTTTAAAATTAAAATTTACCTTAAATTTTTGTTTAAATTTATCAATAAATACATTTTATCAATCTGTTTTCGTTTTAAAGAACTTTTATCTTAGTTTTTTTTTAATGTTTAAACTTAAGATTACACACTGCAGTTGACCCGATTGTTTATACCTAAGTACATATTATATACAGGGTGTCCCAAAAGTCGACGTCAAGTCGAAATTTTCTCAGAGGTAAAACCACGCTGTGGTCATTAGGGACGTTTTGGGTGCGCTAGAATCATTTGTTGTAATTTCAAAGAGATTGTTAAAAACAGACTTTGTTTAACAAAAAAAAATTCTTATGGGCGATCTAAGAAATAATGGACTCAGTGTTATACCACTGTAGAATCCTTATTAAATGCGCTAACTTTTAAAGCTACTTGCCAAACTGGAGTAATAAATTTTTTTTTCAGGACGATCAGTTGAAGTAGTGCGAAAATTAATTTTGAAAACTTGGTACGGTATAAAATGACATTTTCCTAAAAGTTGGAGTGATCAGCACAGAGTTTAGGATCATAGGTTACATAAAACACTATTCGGGATGACGTAAGAGAAAAAAATTTGGCAAAAAGTAAATATTTGTAACAACAGGAATGAAAAAACTGTCACATGGTGTGCATTTTCTTGAATAACAAAAAAATATCCATAACTTCAAAAATACATGACTAATTTTTTTTTTTTTTCTGATAACTGGTGTGGCATTACCTATGAGAAAATTTCGACTTGACGTCGACTTTTGGGACACCCTGTATATTATATTATATACCTGCGTAAATTCTCCATTCGTCACCACATGTGGCGCTACTCCATTTAATATCCCCTTGACATTTTCATTTTCTATAGCAAATGTTATGAGCCGACTCAAGTCTTCGATGTGTATCCAGGGTAGATATTGTTTTCCTGAACCAAGTGGACCACCAAGACCAAAGAAAAATGGTAGAATCATATTTTTTATCATTCCACCGTCTCGTCCAAGGACAACTCCCGATCTGATTATAACCTGAAGTATACAAATATTACATTAAAAAACATTATTTTCTTTCATTAAATACATACATTGTATTGGAGACAACATATCTCGGGTCTTTAATGAGATGTATCAATTTATTAGCTTAGTGTACATTTTTACAAAAAAACTTATACCTAGATTACTTATAAATAAAATGTTTCACAAGTTATCTCTACTACGTAAAACATAACATATTTATTTTTAATATGTTGAGAGCACCACAAAATGACATATTAATAAAATTCATAATTAAGCTTTATTTATTCTGTGAAACAATACTATTTGCAAAAGATACTTTTATACAAAACTAGCTATACTTTTTACATGTACGTCTTAAAGAGTAAAAGTCTCCTTCAAGAGTCTCCATCTATCTCTATTTTGAGAATTTTTCTGCCAATCTTGCATACCAACTTCTTTAAGAACCTCACCCCACCGTGAGGGCGACCTCTCTTTCTTTTCCCTGGTCCTTTCCTTTTGTTTGTCCATCTGTCATGCAAGATGTGTTGCCTGGCCATTTTCACTGAAGTTTTTTACAATGAGATAGTGCTTCAAAATTTTTTCTTTCTTATTTCTGTACTTTTTGTCTTGTCTTTTAGTTTTAAATTTAGTACACTGCGTTTCATTCCTCGTTGACAAGTTATTAATATTTGTTTTTGCTTGAATCATATATCCATGATTTACATTATGAACATACATTTACATTAGGTATGCCATCTCAACCATTAATATACCCTATATAGACACCTTTACTTTGCTTGTTATTGTGCATTACTTTAATGATAGTTGAGTTTTAATAATTACTTACAAGCCTCACTGGTGGGTCCACTTTAGCAGCTTCCTCCCATTCCACTAAGAGTTTAGAAAAGAAATCATTGCCTGTTGTGGGGCTGAATTCATCATACTTTTTAATCTCCGAAGGCTCATAAGCACCCACTCCAGTGACAACAACATATACTTTAGGTTTATTATTGCTTTTATTGATAGCTGTGGCTAAAGCCCTTGTGGTAAACACTCTTGAATTTTTAACATTTTGTTTAAAGCTGAAAAATAAAATACTTGTAATTAAAACATTTAAACAATTTTTTTATGTTAGTAGGATTTTTCTTTTTGTTAAGTATACTAAAATGAGTCAAGATTTAAACAGTTTAGATCTTGCTTGAATCATTCTCATATAACTAAAAATAATATATAAACACAATTACAAAGATGATCAATCAAAGTATCATGACAATATGATATAAATTAAGTAGCCCTGAGGCTTGATATTGTTTTCTATATGTAGTAAACTTCATGCTATAACTAAACATTTCCAGCAAGTTCTGCTAACCCTGGAGTCCAGCTCCTAGTAAAATCCATTGTTTGTTGTCCAGCAAGATTGACTACTGCATTTGTTTGTTTAGGTAAACTAGTTTCAACATCTGTCCATGTGATTGAATTTGTGCTTGGCATTCGAGATACATTTACAATGGTATATTTTTTGTTTGTCAATACTTGTCCCAAGTGCTTTCCAATAAAGCCTGTACCGCCTCCTGCAATTAGTATTTAGATTTTCAGATTTATTTCCTTAAGCATGTAAATTTTGTGTTTTTATCTTATAGGTTACTACTGCTAATATTTTGTATATTTCCTTAGACACTTGATCTTAATAAGGTACCTAAAAAATAAAAAGCTTAAAAATATTGTAATAGGTTTTTTTTACTCCAATTTAATCTTAACTCAAATTTCTACAAGTAATATTTTACAAGCTGTCTCACATCATTTAAAGCCCCTGTTAAAAGATTATTCTGCGTTTAAGAGTAAAGATGAAAAATCACTCAGTGGACATTTTCAGCAACATCATGGTATCCATTTGACAATGGAAAAAATAATACTCGCTTTGTTCTGTTCCTACCTACTTACTATTCATGCGTTTATATAGTTTTTACCGCAGTACCATGCGACTAATCCACAAAAAAAAGTCGCCTATTAAATTATAATAACGAGAAATGAGATATGTATACATAAAAATTACGATCTTATGGGATATAAATATATCAAGATAAGAATTAAGTCTATCGGTAAAAAGTTACAGTAATAAATAATAAAAAGTACATACCGATTAAAACTTTTTTTGATGCCATTGTTATATAATGAATAGTAATTTGAAAATTAAAGTCGCAACATTTTAAATAGAACGATCTTATAGCAACAAAATGTTTAAAACCTTATTTTTCTTCTAAATTCAATAGTATTTTGAATATTTATTATTGAGACTCAATAGTCAGCTGCTCAGCTGATATTAGATTATAGAGATTAGAGTTTTTATTTGAATGTCAAACTATTTCACAACAATAATTCTAATCGTCTAGTCCCAGATATCGTTTGACACATTGACATTGAGCGAAAACATGACATTGACACATAATCGATCAACAAGATATTTTTTCGAGCTTGATCCGATTCAATCATGACGATCACGGATCAAAGCATGACGTGATCGAAACGGTTGACGACGAGCTTGCACTCGACCTGGGGCCTTAGTCAAGATGCCTTAACAGTAGTGTATGTAGAAAGTCAAAAATTAAATTTGTATTAAAACTTTTCGACACGAACTGTCATTTCCATACAAATTTAGTTTATGACTTTCTACATACACTACTGTTAAGGCATCTTGACTAAGGCCCCTGGGTACCAAGAGATCTTTTTAAACACACATTCAAATAAAAATACTGTTAATTTGGCGTTTAGGGTGATGATCCACAAATTTAGCATAATTGGAATCAACTAAAGAATGTTAAGATCACAATTTACTTACCTACAATAAATTTATGTCTACATAGGCTATTTGATAGTATGAAAAATAAAGGTTTATTGAAAGCGATTATTATATAATATTATTTAAAAAGGCGTTGTGGAGTAAAATAACTTGTAAATAATAATTAATATATTTTTTAAATTCCGTCGAAATGACGATGACGTAGGCTGCTTGTAAATATGTTAGCCTGTCCAATCCTAATTCTATTGTGAAGTTTATCTTTGACTGAGACTGTTTTTTATTTAAATATGCAGTATTAATGTATTTTGCATAAAATTGGCGCAACAACGGTAGAGAGTATTTTTTCATTATTAATTCATATTAAAATGTAATACAAATTACAAAATAATAAATAACACGTTTGGTTTCGTGTTTACAAGTGGCAATTTGTGTGAAGCCACCTTACATATATAAGTTTATTAGTGCGTTTCTAAAATAACAAATGTTTAATTTTCAAGTCAATACGTCTTAATATCATTAATAACAACAATAATTTGCATGAGACTTGATTGACTAAGCATCGATGACAACATACTTTAGGCTTAAAGGCATTACTGTCGTTGATAGCTAAAATCCTTGTGGTGAAAAGTCTTGAATTTTTAACATTTTTCTAAAAGAACTCTAAATCTTCTTTTTCATTGAATCATCTCAATCGTCTTAAAATTGTAAGATTATTCCAGGAGCTCTTACAGCATTCACAAATTACTATGAAAAAATACGACAATTTATAATATAAATAAATTAAAGTGCTCGATTGTAATTCAGTAACGGCTCCATAATAACACACCTACACTATATTATGTCCTAATCACACCTTTTTGACCGCATCCGATATTTAAACAATTGAAAAAAACTCCTTGGTTCCATATTATGGTATCGGTTATCCAAAAATCGGCTGGATTCGATCTCAGCATTAAATTTAAAAAATCGGATAGCTATACATTCTTTTTAGGATTTTTTTTATGACTTACATGTATTCTAGTCTAATCTGTGCTACTGCCCACTGTCGTAGCCTGTGTTCTAGGGATGTGACATTCTGCATAAAAAATAGATTTTTTATTAATCGATTATTTTTTTAGCATGAATAATCGATTAATAAATAATCGATTTTTCTTTAAAAAATAATCGATTTTTTTTATTAATCGATTTTTTCCTAATTTTTGAATTAATTTCAAAATAAACACCCTAAATATTTTATTTTTCATGGTTTTTTTTAAATTAAAAATAAACAATAGAAATTATAAACACAAATTAACGTTTAAGAATAATCAAAATCGAAATTAACTTAATCTCGTTTTGATAGATTTTGATAAATGCTGAGTACACAATATAAAGAAGACTATAGAAAGCTATTTGCATTTTTCAAAATTATACCTATACAAGAGAAAGTGCAGCTAGCATTATTAAATGACAACTACTTTACAGACAATTACCTTAAAACAACTAAAACTCATTATCACTATACAACACGTAGAAAATTAAAAAACGAATTTCTTTTACCAAAATACAATAATTTATATGGGAAAAAAACATTAGACTATATTATTCCAAATCTATTAAACTCTTTACCGGCTGCGCTATTTGCTAATGTAACAGGAAACAATATCAAATTTAAATTAAAAAATTACTTTATAAGTCAAACAATTACAAATTATGCATAACTAAAAGTAGGACGTCGTTATTTAGTTCATGTTCGAATATGTAAATTCGATTACACATCCTGTATTCGAATGAGAATTTCTCGTCAAGAACAGGTTTCTTGCATCGGCTGTGGAGCGTCATTGTTTCAATTGGTATATGTTGTTCGTGCAATTTTTATGGTTTATTGGTGGGGGTGTTATATTGTATAGTGTGTCACTGGCCTGAGTGTGTAATAGGTTAATTATTTAAATATTTTCGACGACCTGGTGGACGGAAAAACTGTTTCCAGTTTGTGTTTCCACCACGCCAACTTTTTTCTATTTAGGATGATGTATAGAATAAATAAATAAATAAAAAAAATAAAAATAAAAAAAATTCCTTTTCAGTAGCACATTGCAGTATTTTTGTTGTCTTTTTAATTGTATGTAGTCTTGTGCTGCTGAATAAATTTATTTTACTTTTAAATTGTAGGGTTCCATTCAAACTTGATTTTTTGTAAAATTAACTGCTTCTATCATCCTTTTGATGTTTTACAAAAAAACATCAATGTATCGAGTATATCAATACATCTTCAAAGAATCGGATTCAATGTATCGCATTGTAAACATCGTTGTGTATCGAATATCCCTAATAGTTCGAGGTCCGGGTTATAGAAGACCAGACATAATGTCGGGAGGTGGCAGATAAAAAATCGATTATGATTGATTTTCAATTATAAAAATAATCGATTATTAATCGATTATTTTAAATGTAAAAATCGCGTAAAAAAATCGATTTTTACTTTAAAAAAAATCGATTAAAATCGATTTTTTTTTCACATCCCTATTCCCTACTGTGTTCATACTTCAGAATTTCACTGAGAGGTACATATTTATTTAGAGGTGATTTTTGAGTTGTATACAAAAGAATAAAGATTTTAAAATTTATTCGCCAAGATTAATCAGTTATCGTCATGTTTATCCATAACATTATTTTAATACACAATAAATTATAAACGGTTTAAAACTTAAGTACTATCATCAGTTTATTACAATATACATATTTTAAAATGATTCCTCTTTATGTTACCAATGGTTCTGCATATGTTTGGAATTCAGAAGGTATATCCAACTTTTCAATATTTTTATTTTATCCTATTCTTTTATATTACTCTTTTGATTTTCAGATTGGTACACATTACGTGTAAAATATCGCATTTGTGGTGCTTTGATTGGTTCTCTTCCATCATTTCCTAGGCAAAATGACTTTCAAGGTACAGTTAAGTTATTTTTTAACAATGTTTTTGTTTTATAACTTAAAAATGATTTTATTTGTAGGGCTACCTGTGTCTCTTATGACAGAAGAGGCAACACTATTAGTCAATGAAGGCATATGTGAATTGATTAGTATTACAGACTTAAATGTGAAGCCATCTGATGATTTGAAGCAGCAAATTGATGACTGTGAAAACAGGTAAAATTCAAGACATTTTATTGTAACCTTTAGTAATAATTTTAATTTATTTATCCTTTCAGAATAATACTTGAACAAACAGAAGCTTTAAAAAAAAGGAAAATTGAGCAGTTATCACAAAAAATTGATATCATTGTAGCTGGTAAAAAACAAAAACTATTATCTAAAGGAATCTCAGGTTGGATAGTTATTACATTTTTATAAGGCATAAGCTAAAACAAATGTAAGTAATAAAATGTTTTGCAGATGTTGATTTAGATAAAAACATTTTATTACAAGAAGAAATTAACAAAATTCCTAATATTGCACCAGGGCACTTACTTGTACATTTACCAACTCAGCATCATTTAAAATGTAATGGTAAGTAGGTCCCCTTATGAGTTACTCCTCACTTCGAAATTATTTTAAGTAGAATAAAGAAATTTTATTTTATTTACAAATTATGTAATATGATATATTTTCTATATGTTAATTATCTATAAGTAGGCTTCCGTTTTCTACTTCTTAGAAAAGAAAAAAATCTGTTATAGAGAAAAAAAATTTATCTACCGATGTCCTGGATCCTAGCCTCAGAACTGAAAAAGGAAAAATAAAATATGCAGTATTCAATGATTTATGGAAAAATGGATATTATTTAACGAATGGATCAAAATTTGGATCAGATTTTTTAGTTTATCAAGGTATATAATAAGATTTATGATGCATTTATAGTGAGAGCTGAATATTTTATAAATATATATATTTTTTAAAGGTGATCCAGTAAAATTCCATGCTACATACATGGTGAAATGTACCAGTGTTGCAACAAAATTTCGTCCAGCTAATTTAGTCACATTTGGAAGATTGTCTGTTGCTGTAAATAAACTTGCAATCTTAGCCTATTTCAATAATACTGGTGCAATAGAATACCAAACATTACAATGGCATGACAGTGTAGTAAGATAATAAAATAAGAAATAAATTGAGTACTTGTTGAATTAAGCTTTTGAAATTTGAAACCATCAACACTACTAGGTGTAATATAACTATTATTATTCATCTTATACTCTCAATTGAAGACCATACATAGACCCTCTCCAATCTGGATTCCGGCCAAGGCATTGCACAACTACTGTATTAGTTAAGGTTTCTGTCAACATCTGTCGAGGGATGTGAAACTGAAGACTTCGAAATTCTGCTTGGATTGCTTCGCTCTATTAAATTCTCTCCACCGGCTATTGACTGGTTTGATAGCTCTATCTTCACGGTCGTCGCCAGCGTATTAAAATATGATATAATGTGACCCACTTTCACTGGAATAATGTAAGTATTATGGCGTTCTTTCGGTTCTTCTGTATGCTATTTTCATCAACTCCCTAACAGCGCGTTCATCGGCTGATTATCACCTTTACGCAGGTGACCTCCAAATTACGTTCTGTTTACACTAGATGAACTTGCTCTGGTGATTCTGGCGATAAATGATGATCTTCATAATATAGCCAATTGGAGTAAAAACCTTGGTCTTAAAATTAATCCTGCCAAGAGCCAAGTCATCATCATTGGAAGTCCTTTCTTTATTTCAAGGGTCAAATGGGCTCAGCTACCTAGAGTAACTGCTAAAAATCTTGGTGTTTTCTTCGAACAAACGTTGTCCTGGGGTTATCACGTAAAGGTAATCAGCCGCTAATTACACGCCACTTCTAATGCTCTTAGAGGTCTTTCTAATTTCCTTCCTATCCGCACTAAAACTATGTTAGCGCAGTCTCTTCTGCTTTCTATATTGATTATGCGGACTCATGCACATCTGATATGAATGAAGAGCTGCTGACAAAATTGGTTGCCTGCAGAATTTCTGTATAGGTACGCTTTATATTTGGTCTTAGGAAATATGAACATGTGTCTAAATTTGGCAGGCAGGTCGGGTCGCTCATTTCCTTCAACTCGCTCATATGATATTTTAAAATAACTATATGTTTTTTGGATATTCCAATTACAGCTTAACCTTCTTAGGCAATTTTAAAACGTTAAGGATCTACACCATGAAGTTGCGGAATACGCTGCCCGACTCCATAGGATTGGCTACCTCCCGAACATCTTTTAAAATTCTTCTACATAAACATTTTTTAACCACATCCTATCCTGCTCTATCTATCGTACCTTTTGTAATTCTTGTATTTCTTATTCTTTTGTATTGCTTCGTAATCATGAATCCGTGAGATTAGCTTTTAGTTTTTAGTTTATTTTGTATTATTTTAGATTAAGGTTCGTAATTCTATGTTTTTCCTATAAGTATAAGATTTGGTTATGCACTTAAACTAAGCTGCGCTTAAAACTAAAATACAAAAAGTAGTAGATTCTACTATTAATTTTTAAGTTTTTCCTTACTAGGATTGTCTGGAAGAGATAGCTTGATAGCGATAAGGCCGGCCGTTGCATCCCTTATAATAATAATTTTATTTGATTTTCTTTTAATGTAATAAAGTGTAAATAAATAAATATATTTCCTGTCTCCGGTCTCGCTCAAGTACATTGTACACTTTAGATATATAAATTATTTTGACAGTAAACTTATTTTTAAGCCACTTTATTTTATCTGTTTATAGAGCATAGACAATTAATATAATCTTTGTCATTTAATAAATGTCAAATGTCAATTTTAACGTTTTAATTTCATCATATACGGTAAAAACAAATGTTTTTATTTTTTAATTTTGTCGTTCCTTGTTGAATATAATTAAGGTTTTAACTTACTTATTTAACAAATAACAACATGAATGATCCTGAGTTGCAAAAAATTCGCCAGCAGCGAATGGCTGAGCTGCAAGCTCAACATGGGGTAAGTTTGTTGGTATTATACAGGTTAACTTCAATATTTAGAATAAATAAGTCATGGTCTCGTTTGTAGAATACCGGTAAATGAAATTGCAGTATAGATTATTGTGTATATTTTATAGGGTGGAGATCCTAATCAAGCGAAGGCTCAGCAAGAAAGAATGAAGGCAATGGAAGATGCTAGACACACAATACTGTCACAAGCCCTTAGCCAAGATGCTAGAACCAGATGTAATTTAAGTTATTATAATTATGTTTTTTAGTTTGTTGAGTTTCATAATTGTTTATGGATTTGTTTTTTGTACATGCCTTTGTGTTTTGTTCAACTGTTTGTTTAGTAGGGTTTGAAATATTTTCTGGGTATGTGTATTTGTAAAAAAACTAGCTTCAGCTCAGGTCCATATCATCTAGTCACAATCTTGTCTTGAGTGCTGTCAAATTCGTCATACTTCATATAGAAAATAACAGTGTGACAGCTCTTGAAACTAGATTTAAGTTTGTTTCATATTGTAGTCTTACTAAATATGGGCCTATGAAGTCTAACATTCTTACTTATTAAGAAATAAATCTTACAAAAGTGTTCTTTGATGTATCCATTGGGATAATTTTTCAAATATATACATCCAATGTATATATATAAATGGGGCAAACAGATAGGAAGCTTATCTGATGTTAAATGATAACGCTCCCCAAAGACACATTGCCAGAGGGCTCACAAGTTCATTGCCGGCCTTTTAAGATTTGGTATGCTCTTTTATGAAGGACCCTATGTAGAATTGGTTTAGAAATACTTCAGTGGGCAGCAGGTTCCATAGTGGTGGTGTGCGGCAAAAAATGTCTTAAAAAATGTTCATTAAATGAGCATTAATTTTACTTAATGTTGTCAAATACTGATTATTCATTCAAACAGTCTGTCCATATCTTACTAGCTAAATTAGCCACATCATGTAGTGATCAATATGTACTCAGACATGCTTATAACTTAGGGGGCGTCCATAAATTACGTGAGGTGTTTTTTTTTAATTTTCTGTACCTCCCTCCCCCCCTGGTGAGATGTCGTGAGATTTTATTCAACCCCCTCCCCCAATCTCACGTGAGATTTTTAAAATGTGGGTTTCTTACGTAAACGCGTTGGATTGTTATTGTAAAAAGAAAAAAATTGCTTCGTGCTTTTATTTACGACTAAAACAAAATAAGTGAAATGTTGAGCGTTTAGGTATGGAGTTAGCGGGAAGTTGCAGAGATGGCCTTTAGGGTCAACCGTTTTCCTAAAAAAAAATTATCAATCAGAAAAAAAATTGCGTGATTTTGCCTCCCTCTCTCCAACGTAAGATTTAATGAGATTTGACTCGACCCCCTCCCCCCTTAAATACCTCACGTAATTTATGGACGCCCCCTTACAGACATAAAGATATTTTAAGCTCATGTTTTTCCTTTTTTCAGTAAATATAATAAAGCACAGTAAACCAGAAAAAGCGGCTATGGTGGAAAATATGATCTGTAGAATGGCCCAGATGGGCCAACTGAATACTAAAATATCTGAGCAGGAACTCATTCAACTGTTGGAGTCTGTTAACCAGCAGATGCCCAGGTCTACAAGTACTGTAAAGTTTGACAGAAGAAGAGCGGCTCTTGATTCAGATGATGATGATTTGTAGTAACCTCATGAAAGCAATACTAATGCCTTATTTAACAAAAACTCGGGAGTCTTTTTACCAATAAGTAATATTTATTTTTGCAAAGATTGAGTGAGGTATACTATTCTCTAATCTATTTACCAATGGCAATAGAGAATTTTTTGACTCTAGATTTATGCTCTTATAGAATTTCAATAACACTTAAAACTTATTCTCATAAAGCGAAATTAGAATAAACATTTGAGGGAATTGTTACCCCCTATTCAAAACAGTTTTGAGGGTATTATATTTACATATCTTGTCAAAAAGTAACTCAAATCTACGCTTTTAATTAACTTTGTTTTAAATACTCTTAAGTCATCTGTGAGTTATATTTTGTTCATAACCTACTGTACGAAAAGAAGATATTATAAAAGTCGTGTAATATTACTTTGAATAGAGCAACTTGAGTTATATAAGAACTCAAATGTATATGCATAGCCTCTATATTACTTATTACAAATTCGTACGTATGTGTATTTTTTGCTGTGCCGTCAATTTAACTTTTGATTAAAGTATGCCCAAAAACATTTATTTTATTTTATAATCTATCTTTGTTTGTGGTTCATTGTAATAATTTAATAATTGATTGTATTCCAATCTCAGTACATATTATTATTTGTTAGGGAATTATAACTTATCAAGATTGTATTCATTGATAATTGATAATTAACAGCTAATAGCTATATTATGTCATAAACATAGTTATGTTTATTTTATATTCTAACAATAATTGAATACTAATGCAATAGAAAACTTAACACTACAAAAATTTAAGTAAGAACATAATATTACCTTAAATGGTCCACTCACTTCGTCTATCTTCAGGCACCAGAACCACTTTGCTATTTTTTCGACGATCTGGGAATATTGATGCTTTAAGGCATAGATTGAATATACAGAGAACACACAGAGAGAGAGACAGTCCCGCCAATGTATACATGTAGTCCCCCCCTAGTCTAAAATAAAGACCATAGTGTTATTAATTTATTGTCATTAAAAATTATCTGAATTAATTTTCTAGTCTAATCTAAGATTTTAGTAGATAATAACGCAATATAAAACCGCGAAATAAAGTGGCAAAAAAGTCTTTGTTACCCTGAAAATGTTGCGGTGTCTTGTGGTGTTAGTTTGTACAGTATCGGCTTTAGCGGGTCAGTCCCCTAATGATGCGTTTGTCGAAGATCTAGTCGAGTTTTATAATGACGGACGATTTTCGGACAATATACAAGAAGATGCTTCATTGGACGTGGTAAGAGTTTTTGTATTCAGATCAGGGCTTATTACCAAATATATGATTGCCGTACCAATGTCGAAATCCCTAAACCGAAAGAGAGGATTCAGGACTAGTCTAACCACTGACTGGACGGCGTAAAGTCCCCAGTGACTTAGGAGGAGAATTTGTATACATATGTCCTTAGTAGCAGAAGTAGTTTTGATAGCCATTTGGACCTTTAAAAATTTAAGTCTGAACTGATGGTTCTATCTATGAACCTACCCATTTAAATAATATTAAACTTTTTAAATAATATAAGATAAGGACCAAGGTCATAAACATTTTGAAAAACAAAAACAATTTTTTAGCGACGTTCATAAGTGTACATTGAGTTACCTATATGAATAAATAATAATATATTGATTATGATATATAAACAAGTATGTATTATTTTGCGTTTACTAATGGAACAACGCAATATATGTTTCTATTAGCAATGTCTTGTTTTTCCGTACAAGTAAATATTTTTAAATCAGCAATGTATTTTAGCCAGAACTTGTGCGTAAATACGGATATCCGTTGGAGGAGCACACGGTGGAAACATCTGATGGCTACATTTTAACCATGCATCGTATTCCACACGGGCGGGAAGCAAACAATGATGCAGGACAAAGACCAGTTGTTTTCTTGATGCATGGCCTCCTTAGTTCCTCTGCTGATTTTGTCTTGATGGGTCCTGGATCTGGTTTAGGTGAGTAAACCTAACAATGGCTAAAATGGTTTTTCGTTAAAATATCTGGGATAGTAAAAATAGATAAATAAGTCTTACAACAACGGAGTCATGATATATATTTATTTTTAATTCACAATATATATAATTTTACTTATATTTTCAGGGTACATTTTAGCAGATGAAGGCTATGATGTGTGGATGGGCAACGCTCGTGGTAACTACTATTCTCGTAAACATTTAAAATTACGTCCCGATGCGTTATTAAACACAGATTTCTGGAATTTCTCATGGGATGAAATAGGGAACATAGACGTAGCAGCTATGATAGATCGTGCCTTGGAGACCACTGGAAGATCTCGTTTGCATTACATTGGATTTTCTCAAGGCACAACTACTTTCTTTGTTTTGGCATCCCTAAAGCCTGAATATAATGATAAGATTATATCCATGCATGCTTTAGCGCCTGTCGCTTTCATGGCAAATAACAGGAATCTTCTGTTAAACGCTTTGGCACCTTTTTCTAGGAGTTTATCGGTATGTTGTTATTACTTATTTTATAGATCGCGTACGAAGTTTTCATATAATCTCAATAATAACCCCAAAACATATCATACGCCTAAAAATAGACTACAAAAATATGAATAACAAGCCAAGTACACTAAACTAAACCCAGTGATTTGCGAAGTATCGCTTTAGGGCTCAGGGCTATACGTACAGATATCGGCAAACTTCTTGAGCATTTAACAAGCGAGTGGGGGAAAGTGTGCGCATCGCGGGACACAAACGTCAACTGATTTACCAATCACACGATCGACACGACACTCTCCCGCCGCCTCTCGTCCCAGTGATACCTAAAAATCGCTTCTGCGCAGGCAAGGACATTTGTTCAAGATGTTTGCTAGTATATGTATTAAACTTTCAAACGGCCTGAGATGTGGCGCTATATACATTGCTTACCTATTTTTCTATATCCTTAACCCCAAATAAAATTGCGATAATAATTGTATGTTCTTGGCTAGTATTATTATGTAGTATCATTCCGAAGGGAAAAATGTTTCTTCTCTGTTTAATTAATTTATACTATTTTTTTTCAAAACGGAATATATTTAGTTTCGTTTGCTTATTGGAACTAGGGTGCGAGAGTGATAAGGACATTTAATTATATTTAAAGGTATTAATTTGTTTATGAGGCTTATAAGAAATAAGTTAATATATACCTAAACTTTCAGAGATTAGCAAATCTAATTGGAATTGGCGAGTTTATGCCAAACAGACTTATCTATACATGGGCTGGGGAAGCATTTTGCAAAGATGAAGCTCTATTTCAACCGATTTGCAGCAGTATTCTATTCTTGATCGCAGGTTGGAATGAGAATCAACACAATACGGTGGGGTGTTTTTTATACTTACTATAAATTTCAACGATATTGTTCTACTGACGACACATATTTATCTGCTATTAATTGGTAGTAGAAATTGATACAACTTTAGGAAAATTGATACAACTTATACGAATAAGTTGAATTACGATTCAAAAATATTTCTTATCCACTTTCATATCTTGAAAGGGTGTATGATACAGGACCGATACTCATTACTATCGATTACCATAATTAAGACATCGTGAGACTTTTATATTTCGGTTTGTTTGTAATCAAATAAATTCAGTTAATACAGTTAATAATCAAGTAAGTAATCATTGTAATCAAACTTAACATCTAAATCGCGATCGTTATTGATGTTCGGGGTAAACTTACTGGAGTAATACTCCGATTCGTGACTCCCTTTGAAATATGGTAACAATAAATTTCTTCAGAAAATAAAATATGAAATGTTTCAGACAATGATGCCTGTTGTTTTCGGCCACACTCCAGCCGGGGCGTCGGTAAGGCAATTCGCCCACTATGGACAGGGTATATCTGGCAACAAATTTCGTCGTTTCGACCATGGTATGACAAAAAATTTGCTCACGTATGGCAGAATCAGCGCCCCGGATTACGATTTGAGGAAAATAACAACACCTGTGTTTTTGCACTACTCAAGTAGTGATCCCTTGGCCCACGTAAATGATGTGGACAAATTATGGTCAGAACTGAAAAACCCTGTTGGAAAATTCAAAGTTCAAGAAAACACATTCAGCCATTTGGATTTCATGTACGGAATCGATGCAAGGGCCTTGGTTTATAATAGAGTTATCAGTTTCCTACATGTTATGGATGCTTTGGAAGTCTAAATACACAAATTTACTATAATTTCTTCTTTGTTTTCTTTTTTTTTGTATTTTAAGGCTGGCTAAAACGAGAAAACTTGTAACGCGATTGAATCAATATTTTAAATAATAAATTGGTGTCTGCTTTTAGTTGTAGTAACAACTATGTATTATATATTGTTTTTCAAAATGCGGACATTAGAGCAATAGTGTGACATACCTTCAATTTCACATAATATGGATCTTATTATTAGCACTGCATGCTACTTAACGGTTCTAGACGATTTAATATTTATTATAATTGAGATTTTTTTTGCGCAAAAAGTTTTCCTATGATAGTATCTAATTTTAGTAAACTACATTTGCGAATATACAAAATCTTTAGTGATAGCGATACGTGCCGAGACTTATGTTTCAAGGATTAATCTCTCATATAACGTCATACCGACCGTCTGACCCCTGCCTTAAAAATAACTATTTCAGGCAAAAACTATTTTACTAATTTAATTCCATGGCTCGTGCCCCTATTATATAATTGTTGTCATAACGTAAAACACAATTATTATCGACAACATAAAGGCAATGAGATAACGTGTAATATCTGATAATTTCATTTTAAGATTTCACTGCCATTGCAACACTGTTCGGGGTTGGGATAAATTATTAAGATATTTAAAGGGATAATTATTTATTTTATGAGCAATGGACTAAACTAGTGGGGTGAGATGAGATTAAGAGTCGCGCCCGGTACGAGGTCTAAATGAGAACTAACTTAACTGAAAATAATAAGATATAATGGAAATGAACACACAAGCAAATCATATTGCATGGTGTCATTTACATTGCAAATACCTGTACGGTTGTAAATCGTACATGTTCCCGGGGGAGGAAAAGATGAGGGTTAGTAAAATGGAGGATGAACTTAAGACTAACAAGGTGATACACAAATTTTAATATTAAATGTTTATATGTTACGATTAGTTGTGGGTGAGAAAATGAATTACATTTATCATATTAGCTACAAAGATTCAGTTATATTTAATTCCGGAAGGGAAAACACACGAAAGATCGGCGAGGAAGCTCGATCTTGTTTATTAACACTTTTATTATTATGATAATGCCTTTTTTCCCTAACTTCACACTCACTCACAACACTTTCACTTTTCACGGGGTGTGTAACTGTACTGAGCTTGACACGAACTTAGTATTGAAAGGAAAAATAATGTTAAGGATAAAACCATAGCACAGAAAGAGATGCCGCTGAAATTCTTCGCTTTAGGCTTCTTTTCATCGACCTTCTCATGGTTTAAAGATTGATTACTATTATTTGTAGGTAGAAAGGATAACTTAACGACTGGGCGTTTAATAGAACAGTTCTTGGTTTTAAGCGTGACGACTCTTACCAGCCCGTCCCTTTCGGGATGTAGCTCTACAACACGCCCTAAAGCCCATTTACCGGGCGGAAGATCTTCTGATTTTTTGATGACTATATCGTATAAGTTGAGATCTTTTTGAGGTCGTTTCCACTTTGATTGTGAGAGATATTCATTCTTCCATTTGAACCGAATATTATGATAGATTTTCTGCCATCGAGTTCTAAGATCATTTTCTTGTTTTTGTAACCATCGAGGTATTTTAAATTGCGTTATATAGGATATGTCGGCTTTTATTTTATTCCATTCTAAGACTAATTTATGAGGTATCGGCTGATCCCATCCTAGATCAGACTTCCAAGTTTCTTGAAATACAATTTTAAGTTTTGTAGTGACTGGTGCTAACCAGCCCGAAGGGTTATAAAATTTTGAGATTTCGGACAATAATTGTCGCTTAGTAGGGGTAATATTTGGGATATAATTAATAGGATAAAAGATAAATTCGTCGGCATTGGGATTCCAACGAAGGCCTAAAGTTTTAGGTGACTCCTGGTGCTTAAAGTCGAATTCTTTTTCGGAATCGTTCATATCTTCTAAGAGAACAGGTAAGTTTGAACGCCATTTTCTAAGATTGAAACCTCCAGATTTGAGTATTTTAATTAAATCGTTCTTCAGCTCTATTGCTGTTTGTGCAGAGTGAGTACCATGCAACAGATCGTCCATGTAAAATGAGCTTTCTAACACAGCAGGTGCGATACTGTAAGGATAATTTGATCGTTCATCGATTGCAAGTCTTTTCAGGATCATCATGGCCAAGAAAGGTGCGGCCTTAGTTCCATAAGTTACAGTGGCTAGTTGAAATTCACCTAACGGTTGGGATTGATCATCTCTCCAAATAATCTTCTGGTATTTTTGATGTTCTGAATGAAGCCAAATATTGCGAAACATTTTCTCTATGTCGGCTGTAAAACCATATTTAAATTGTCGCCATTTTAAGATTAGTGTTTGAAGGTCTTGTTGTAGATTTGGCCCCCTACACATAAGATCATTGAGGCTAAATCCACTCGAAGTTTTCGAAGAAGCATTAAAAACAACTCGCAATTTCGTAGTTGATGATTCCGCACAATGGTGCGATAAGTAGCAACTCGACTCTACGTCGGCGCGTGACACAACGGGTATCATGTGTCCGAGCTCTTTGTACTCCGATATAAATAATTTATAATCACGAGCTAAATAAGGTTGTTTAATTAGTTTATTTTCCAATTGAATAAATTGAGCGATAGACTTTGACTTCGATTCGCCCAATTTTTCCTCGAGATTTTCTTTAAAAGGTATTTTCACAACGTAACTGCCGTCGTCACGTCTTGAGGTTGTATTCTGAAAAAACTCTATACAATTTTTATAAAGTTTTTTCATAATAAATACATCCGTGTTAAAGGTATAATCATTGACTATCGATAAACACTTGATAGAGATTTTGCCCTTGCAATTGTTTTCTGTATTTCCTATCCCAGAAATATAACCATTACATTTCTGTCGAGGTATTTTTAATAATTGAGCAGCATTTTCACTGATAATTGAGATTTGTGAGCCCTGATCTAAAAGAGCTTTTCTTGTTGTTGAGGTAAATGTTTCACAACCCGGGGCACGTGTAACCTTGATCGTGAAACGTCCGGTGTCATATTATCTTTTGTAAAACATTCATGTAAAATTGTATTATGATTTTTATTACATTCTTTGCACATTAATTGCGAAAGGCATTTTTTACCTTCATGATAATGTAAACAGTTGATACAAAGGTTCAATTTTGCAATAGCATTTCTTCGTGCGAAAGGCTGCATATTCAATAATTTTTGGCATAAATGTATACGATGATCGCTTGAATTACACACCGGACACAGCTTGCGTTTTTCAATAATTTTGTTACTGGAATGTGTCGGTTGCGAAATAACCTGATTTGTAGAATAAGTATACTTAGGATTATTATAACTTCGTCTAAAGTTATGATTAAAATTTTTCGCAGGTGATGATTGATTATCATTTAAGTTTTTTGAAGGTTTATATTGATCGAAGTTTTGATATGATACTTTTGGCGTTTGATTTTCTTGTTTCTTCCGTGAAGTTTCTAGGGTCATAAACTTAGTTTCTAAAAACTGCAAAAAATCTTGTAATACGGGTAATTCTCTCGGCGATTTCAAAGATTGAATATATTCATTGTACGTGTCTGCGTCTAACTTCTGAGACAATATACATACAAGGAAGGGATCCCAGGAAGAAACGTTAATTCCAAGATTTTCTATCGCATTTATACTCTCGTTTGTAACATCGTGAATGCGTTTGATATGATTATACGACTGGTATTGAATATTAGGAATATTTAAGAGATTGTTAAGGTGAGATGTAAAGATTAGACGCTTATTATCATAGCGATGACTGAGAATATTCCAGCTAATGAGATAATTATCTGAGCTTACCTGGAGATGTTGAATCAACTTCTCAGGTTCACCCTTAACCTTACTTTTGAGAAATTGTAATTTCTGCGCATTTGAAAGAGATGGGTTACTATGAATAGTTTCCGTAAAGAGATCTTTGAAGGAAACCCATTGGTTATAATTTCCCTCGAAGGTTGGTAACTCCATTTTAGGGGTTGTTTTCTCGATGTGTGATACCGACCACATCTTTTTATTGATATCCTTCTTAACTTTAATGTAATATTTTTCGTAATTTGTAAATTGCTCTTCATATTCTCGGTTGGAACCACAAAGTTCATTGTCCAACTCCCAATGTAAGCTATCAATTGCAGTCCAACGGACTTGCAAGGTCTTTAGGATGTCTTCTAACTCCCACTTTTCCGAGATAAGGTCAAGTTCTATACTCGAGGCAGTTCTTAGAAAAGCTTTAAAATTTGTAGTTTGTTTTCTCATGAGCTCTTCTGTTTTACTCATATTAGAGTTATTTTTGAGAGATATTTCCTGAGATTCATTGGAGGTCGATGCGTTAGAGGTAGACGGGGCTTGAAACGTTGGAGGTTGTAATTCAGGGGATTTTTGTAATGCTTGCCAAAGGCTTATAATTTCTTAAAGTTGTCTTAATATTACCATATTTTTTCTTAATCTGCTCGTATTTATTAAAAGTAAAATATTCATGAGACTGATCACTAAAAGATAAAAGTGTCATATGGTTATTATGAATATCTGTAAAATATTGTTCTAACGTTTCTAAACGACGACGTATATAATCGGGAGTCTTTCGCTCCGCTCCATCCTTCTTAAAGTTGATATAAAGCTTATCCACTGCGTCCACCAACTGCTGTTGGATAGCTAAAATATCTTCCATTGTGGACATAATTAAAGATTATCAGAGATAACAATATAACCTTACTTGTTCAGCTGATAAGTTGCTCAAGATATCCTCGCAATACCTGCAAGGTTGTACTGAATCCGAGATGTAGTGTGCCTTCTTAAGGCACCGAGGTCATGAAGTAAAGAGATGTAGTGCTTTCCTAAGGCACCGAGGTCACGAGGTGAAGAGATGTAGTGTGCCTTCCTAAGGCACCGAGGTCACGAAGTGAAGAGATGTAGTGTGCCTTCTTAAGGCACCGAGGTCATGGAGTAAAGAGAAGTAGTGCTTTCCTAAGGCACCGAGGTCACGAAGTGAAGAGATGTAGTGCGCCTTCTTAAGGCACCGAGGTCATGAAGTAAAGAGATGTAGTGCTTTCCTAAGGCACCGAGGTCACGAGGTGAAGAGATGTAGTGTGCCTTCCTAAGGCACCGAGGTCATGGAGTAAAGAGAAGTAGTGCTTTCCTAAGGCACCGAGGTCACGAAGTGAAGAGATGTAGTGTGCCTTCCTAGGGCACCGAGGTCACGAAGTGAAGAGATGTAGTGTGCTTTCCTAAGGCACCGAGGTCACGAAGTGAAGAGATGTAGTGTGCCTTCCTAGGGCACCGAGGTCACGAAGTGAAGAGATGTAGTGCGCCTTCTTAAGGCACCGAGGTCATGAAGTAAAGAGATGTAGTGCTTTCCTAAGGCACCGAGGTCACGAGGTGAAGAGATGTAGTGTGCCTTCCTAAGGCACCGAGGTTACGAGGTGAAGAGATGTAGTGCCTTCCTAAGGCACCGAGGTCACGAGGTGTACAAATGTAGAGGTATATTGCCTTTCTTAGGCAATGTGATTAGGATAAAAGAGGTGTATCCATAAATCGTAGTTCTAGATGTATTCTTTTGATACGCAGGTATCAGTATAACACACACACTAAGCAAAACAATATTGCGAAAGCACACGCGTCCTGATCCTGCCAAAAATACGACTAATGGCTCGAAGGACCAATGTTCGGGGTTGGGATAAATTATTAAGATATTTAAAGGGATAATTATTTATTTTATGAGCAATGGACTAAACTAGTGGGGTGAGATGAGATTAAGAGTCGCGCCCGGTACGAGGTCTAAATGAGAACTAACTTAACTGAAAATAATAAGATATAATGGAAATGAACACACAAGCAAATCATATTGCATGGTGTCATTTACATTGCAAATACCTGTACGGTTGTAAATCGTACAAACACATTATATTTGGTATCTTGGTATGGCCATTCACGGCCTGACAATAAGTGACATTGAAATCATTTTAAAAATGGTAGCAACATTTGAGTTCAACTGCTTAAAGATCTGAATGAGCTTGTTCGTTATATATTATAATAAAGTAATAAGGAAACGACTTTAATGCTCTTTGTAAGAAACCAGTCAAAAATTAAAAATTATCGCCACTAAGCCTCAGGTTCTTAGTGTGGCCATAGACGGACCGCATGTTGCAGTCGATACCGACTGCTCGAAGCGCTCGCCGCACGGCGATCTGCAGTTTCCATACTAAATTCATATCCGCAATACATGGACCGCACGACCAGTTTCTGAACGGTCGGAGCAGTCGCTCTGCGGTCGAGTTTCGCCGTGCGGTCTACTGCTTAGAGCTGCCGAACCCACCCTACACGGACCGCTACAAGCGGTTGTTGCCGACCGCGCGCCTCTCCCTCAAATAAAATACTAAATACTACTACTAAATACTAACTAATTCATCAAATGAAACCACGGACATTCTAAAGTAGTTGAAAAACATTTTAGTGTCTTCTCTCAGCTGGGGATACAAAGTATGAAATTTTCCATGCTCTTGATTGTAGTGTTGGACGCACCCACATACTATAGTGTCTTCTACGCCTACGCTTGCGTAATAATAGTAAAAGTAGCAGTGTTTCTTCATCGACTTCCATCTTGTAAATGAACTCGCATCGGTATTATTTTGCGGTCGAACACAACTGCTCCAAGCAGTCGTAGCCGACCGCTCTACAGCAGTCGGTCTTGACTGCTTCATGCGGTCCGTCTATGGCCACCTTAACCCGAAACTTCGCGCTAAGTATGATTGTAACACATATTATGTCATAATATGTCAAACACGTATTGGATTTTAACATACGAGAGTCATAGCCATATTCTAGGTTGTATTTAAGCATTGAATATATAATTAATACGAGATTTATGTTAAGATTGTATTCTAAAAAGAAATTCAACATTTCTAAAATCAGACTGATTTCTTAAGCCGAAACATATCTATATTACTTGAAAACGACATCGCAAGTAGGTAGGTACTAATTGCTAATGAAATCCGGATTTTAAAGTAGGATTAGTATTTATAATTTAGATTAAAGATTATACAATCAATGCAATATTGCTTGATTTACCATTTGATAACTATATTTGGTATCTTGGTATGGCCATTCACGGCCTGACAATAAAATACTTCCTAGGAAATAGAAATAATTAAAAGGGAAATTAAATCAATTAGTTCTGTTGGCAAGTTATTTGATATCTTGATATTTGATAGTTTTGACTTATTACTTCCTCCAAGATATATTTTTTGGTGGGGTTCTGTACTGTCCATAATCATTCATTCCATTTTATACTAAGCGTAATTTTGGGTAGCTAAATTTAACTTTAGTAAATGGAGTAATGTTGAATCTGTATTAATCAATCAAGTCTACACTTTATTAATATAACATCTATTACACAAGGATTTTTAAAATACACTTAGAATTTTCAGAGATTTCGAGTTATAAAAGACATCATCGGACGAACCGGAAGATGAAATCACACACAACGATACAAATCATGTTTTCAATAACATTTTTAATAACTTTTATTATTTCACATTTAACCCTTGAAACTATTTACGATAGTTTATCATAGATTATAATTAGGTTTATCTATTTATCTTTATTATTAAAAACGCCCGAATTTAAGAACATTAGGCTGTATAATTTCTGTATGCAAACTAGCAAAAATGTTTAGATTATTATTAATTGTTGGTTTATTTTTAATAACAAGTGCTGGAAGATCTCCACATGCTGACTACGTGACTCGTCTAAACCAGGAAAGCGCTTTTGGACCAACACTTTCGGACAATCTTCTTTTAGATGCTATTTTAGATGTAGTATGTACCTTTTGCTTACTTTGAATTGTTTTGATAAAAATCCAGTATCACTATTAGGTTCTGTTAAAATAATATAGTAACACAATTACGACGAGAAAGCAATGCTATAAAGAAAACATCGCGGTACCCCTTTATTAAAATCATTTCTCCTTAATTATGTTATCTAACAATTGTTTTAAAAAGCTTGTTTCTAACCCTAACTAAGCGTTGTTCCTAAAATACCTAACCAATTATTAGGAATAGCTAATTTTAAACAACAATAGTAAATATGTATGTGTTTCAAGCCTGATATGATCAGAAGATACAACTATCCGATGGAGGAACATTTTGTAATTACTCCTGATGGATATATTCTGGGCGTGCAACGGATTCCCCACGGTCGAGACAGGAACAATATACCTGGAGACAGGCCAGCTGTCTTTGTTATGCATGGCCTTTTGAGCTCCTCAGCCGATTACCTGATCTCAGGTCCTGGAGATGCTTTAGGTACACTACTTGTTATATTTTTCTTTTCACGTAAATATATGATATCTTAATAAAGATAATGCCTTATATAATTTTATAACATAGACTGACTAATCAAAGTATTAGGTAAATAGGTTGATACAATTTTTTTATGAGGTGCACGTAATCTTAGCAGTTTAGAAGTGTTTCTTTAAACTGCAAATTTATTTAAAGCTTACATCCTGGCGGAGGAAGGATATGATGTGTGGCTTGGCAATGCTCGCGGAAATTATTATTCGCGGAAGCATTTAACACTCAACCCCGATGGCGAAGACACTTTATTATTTTGGGACTTTTCCTGGGATGAAATTGGAAACATTGATTTACCAACGATGATAGACTATGTTCTCGCTCAGACTGGTAAATCGGCGTTGCATTACATTGGTATGTCGCAGGGAACTACGTCATTCTTTGTTATGGGTTCCTTGCGGCCGGATTACAACAATAAGATAATCTCAATGCACGCTTTGGCACCGGTAGCGTATTTGGGACATACCAAGCACTCTCTATTGAGGCATATAGCGCGTTATTCAGCAAATCTTGCGGTAAATATATTAATTATAAATTAATTCTAGCGTAAAAAAAATCTCACTTTTATGTATTCAAAAAGGATTCCAACCACTTTTATTGCAAATGTTTGATTTTTAGGCTTTAGCGCGTTTGATTGGTCTTGGAGAATTTTTACCAAACAGTGTTATATGGACATGGGTTGGTCAGAATATGTGCAAAGACAAAGCACCATTACAAGTAGTCTGCAAAAATATTTTCTTTTTCATAGGAGGCCATAATGAAGATCAATTCAATGCTGTAAGTAATAAAAGAGAGCTTAAAATATGTAAACGTAGTTTAATTAATTATAAATATATAATCGTTGATATTCTATTTAGTAATAAAAACTAAATTTTTGAGCAGCGCTTCTATAACACTATATTCAGTAGGGCTTCGCGCGGCTGGATATTTGATATTGATGTCTACTATAACTTTAGTGATGTTCTACTTTGACGAATAGTTTCCGCAGCGTACACGATATAGTGATTGTATTGGTTTGTGTTTACCACCTTTTTTGTAAATATTGTATAGGCTCTTGATCAGGGGTTATTCTAATGGTGAACGTTTCATGGGTACAGTTATTTTGATGCCAATGCAAACAAATAAACAAAATTACAATAAATTATATTAGACATGGATTTTTATACACGCGTATATATGCAATTTTAACATTAGTTTTATTTAGAATAATTAACTTGATATTTAAAAATAATATGTATAACTTTGTTTGATCTTGGTCTAGTGGTTAGTACCCCTGACTGCAAATCCATGGGTCCCGGGTTCGATCCCCGGCTGAGATGAACATCGATGTGATGAGCATTTGGTGTTGTGCTTAGGTCTTGGGCGTTTAAATATGTATTTATATGTACATCTATCTATAATATGTATGTATATCCGTTGCCTAGTACCCATAACACAAGCTTCACCAGCTTAGCATGGGACTAGGTCAATTAGTGTGAATTGTCTTTAAAAAAAAAAAAAAACAGTGTAAAACAATAACACACTCTTGGACTGTGTCTAATTAATTGTGTTTTTTATTATTATATTTTAATACTTTAATTATTTATTCTTTACAGACTTTGTTACCGGTTAAATTCGGTCACTTCCCCGCCGGTGCCTCAGTCCGCCAGTTAAGCCACTATGGGCAGAGTATATCAACTTCAATGTTCCGACGATATGACCATGGTTGGGCTCAAAATCTATTAAGATATGGATCACCTGAGCCCCCTCGCTACAACTTATCAAATATAGTCTGTCCTGTATACCTTCACTATTCCGAAAGCGATCCATTAGCTGATGTCATTGACGTCAATAAATTGTTTAACGAATTGGGTGGTACTCCGATAAGGATACGTGTTCCTGACAAAAAATTCAGCCATATTGACTTCGTATGGGGCATTGATGCAAAAACCTTAGTCTATGATAACGTGATAGATGTTATGAAAAACTTTGATAAAACCGGAAAAGAAACAAAAGACTTTAGATAAATATAAAATTACGAATTGTTAATGTTATATTATTATATAAATATTCGATGTTCTCAATAGAAATATAAGAGATAAATTGTATGCTGTGTATTTTATTAACTAATTACTGTCTATATACAAATAGTGTGTGACTATATCATAGACACGGCCGTGTGTTGTACGTTTATTAAACGGGTTATAATCGATAGATTTTGACGACCGCTGATGATTAAACGAACATCGTAGCTTCTCCGAGTCAGTTATACCTCAGACAATTAATATACAAATCATTGCTAAGGAAAAGTAACTCTCGTGGTAATTACAACGTGTATCAACATAACAAATATGTATTTACCTAATAATTCTAAATGTTATAGATTTATTGAAATATTCAAAAGCAAAAGAGACCCAACAATGACGTAGGATATTGCAATTGGTAATACATATTTTTGAAATTGCGAGAACTTGATTTGGACAATTTTTTTTAAATCGTTAAAAATACAGTTTTTTGTATTAGTTATTCTTTTTTTTTTAGATAATATATTATTAAAAATACTTATATTTATGCATTAGGGTACTAACATAAAGTATGTACAGAGAAACTGCACCAAACAAAAAATATGTCAAAATTATGACATTTTTGTGTATTAGTGCTGGATTGTTCTTTTGTTTTGCTTGGACCCAGCGCTTTACTTGAATGCTGCTCATTTGGATGGCGTATATGAAGGAAACGTAAGGTGAATTACCAAAAATTCTTAAAGAACTGTCGAATGTCATTTTCTAGACATAACCACTGCGATAAACCCCAGTTTTGTTTTCTGTTCATCCACACAATTACTATTTCAATTTAAAAACGATTTAAGTAATATTTTTATAACAATGTATTAAAATTAAGTTATACCAAATTGAAGACGAATATATACCTCCCTTATACCTTACAGATACCTTACGGCTAACACTATAAAAAGGTTGATTATTATTGCATATTATGTTTAAGGACGCTCTGAATCTCAATTGCCTTAAAGAGTTATCAGGCGCTTATTGCTGTCCTATCACTGCTCATATAAAATGATTTGTTGTTTATATACGAAATATTGCCAGCATTTTTACACATTTTATAGTACGTACATGGATAAAATAAATAAAAATTATCGCTTGTATTATGATTGACAGTTGTGATATGCCATTTTATTTCTTGAATAAAAGGTTTGCATATCAGTTATTAAAAGGAAACACTTAAGAATTCACAGAAATGCTGTTGACTGTGGGGGTGTTCTGTGTAATATTGGTAATAGTCGAAACGTCACCACATTGTAAATATGTAGAGGAATTAGTTAAAACAATGTTTTTAACTAATTCACTAAAGTATCAGAAGAAAACTTTGAAGATGCAAGATTAGATGCGGTACGTGCAATAATTAAGAAGAGTAGGTAGTTGGTCTAGCGGCTTCAGCGTGCGACTCTATCCCTGAGGACCAATGGAATTTCTGCATATGTACGGATTTAACACGCTCTTACGGTGAAGGAAAACATCGTGAGGAAACCGGCTTGCTTAAGTTTTAAATAGTCGACGGCTATTGATAACTTCAGATAACTAACACTATAGTTTTCAGTTATTACTTCTATTAACATTTGTTTTATGGAGGAATGTAGTCTTGATATATTCATTAGCTGATGCACTGATGCTTCATTAAATCTAGTAGGCTGTTTTAGAAACCGTATTAAAATACACAATCCTATACTCTAGACTCTCCAGGATTGCCTGTACCAGTAATAACGATTGTGTGCTCGAATGCTGGTAAAGTTGCAGCCTCATTGGAAATGAAACCATTCGAACCACCTGAAAAAAAATTGCTCATTGCTGTTTCTAGGATAAACATGACTGAATTTGCTTAGGCTGCTAATCAAGAACTAGGTGGCAATACCCACTAAAACAATTTCTTGCTTATAGTACTGCCACGCTCAGACGCTCCCAGGCTCGACACAAAATAACCACGAGTCTACATATCATATTTTTCAGCATTCATGAGAAACTTTCATTATTGTACACATAGCCCTCAATAAATATTTACGATTGTTTATCAGTGATTATAATTATGTTTATCTCTTTAATCGAAAATAAAAGCATTTATGTTGATAATGTTTGTAAATGTACAAGCAAAATGATTTATTTATTAAGTTCTGGAAGATCTCCTCATGGTGACTATATGAATTGTTAAGACATAGTGTTTGGACCAAACCATAAAAATATAAGGAAAATAATTTATACTGTCGTCAATGTCTATATTTTGAAGCCTGATTTGATTAGAAAATACAACTATCCCGTTTAGGAACATTTTGTAATTACTCCAAATAATTATAGAATATATCATTCTAGCATGGCGTAGTTGAAATAATGCAAAGCTTTTAAAGAAAAAACTTTTTACCGGATTAAAGTTATGTATTATTATAAATTTACAATTATTTAACATAATTTTAAATTTATCCGACGTTTCGCGTGCTTTACAGCGTGCGGTGACTGCCACGGTAAAAAGTTTTTTCTTTAAATGTGTAAAGGTTATGTCAATCAAAGACAATACTAAATGCAAAGCTTTGATACAATCGTAAGATAAACAAAGGTGTTTAGGTAATAAAATTATGAATTCTCCAGGTTCTCAATATTATTTAAGATATTTATTCTATGTTGTTTATTTTAGTACTAGGTTGGTCTTAAAGTACGCACAGAAATAACAATTGTTTCTTAATGTATATCATTGTTTATTTATGATTTGTAGCATCAGTTTAGTAAAACGATATTAATTCTTTCCATCCCCTGCAAATAGTCGACATCTGTATGGTTGCTATAGACAATAAATACAAAGTAATCATACCAGATAATTATTTTTTCTTATAAAAATAAATTTGATGTGAAGTGAACACGTTTGTTTTAATGACAATTATTTGTCATTAAGTATATCTTTACGGGGATTGTATGTACTAGAAGGAGAATAATAATATAGTTGATCAAAATGACAGTTTGAGTGCATTATCATAAGCCATGAATACTAAAAAAATAACATAACATCCTAGTGAATTTAAAATATAAAAAATATCATGAATCTGCGCTTTAAGCAAAATGCAGAAGAGCAAAAACAGTTGTAGAAAAGTTATTATAGAAGATGCTAATATACCATACAATTTTTCAATTGATAGAAATAAAAATAAGCTTTTCTTTTGCATAAACGCTGATGAACTTTGTGATCAAAGCTTTCAGTCGGCAGTTGTAGATTTAGATACTGCTTCTCCATGGATTATACCAAGCATTCGGAACGGGTTTGCAAGTGCAGTAGATAACAATACAAGTACAGTTTATTTGGCTGGTAGTGATGGAATTTATAGGTACAACGATCACGTTAAGGACATAGAAAAACCAGCTATCATTGAGAATATAGATATATTTGATATGAAATTTAATGAACTGTTGTATTTTATCGATACGGCAAATCTAAATTTGTATGTTTTGAAAAACGGTAAAAAAGTTTGCATTACAGTCATAGAAGAGTATGGCATACAACACTTTACCTTTGCTGGGCATCTTGTTATATTTTCAAATTCAAATGGATTGTATTATTTGGATAAAAATAATAATAAAAACAGTCCCGTTTGGTTTACAAACAATGTTAATAATATCCGAGGACTGGTTACTGATGTGGAGGGAGTGCCACACATTGTAGCTCAGGATGGAATTTATTCTATTGACCTTAAAACTATGAACGTGAACAAATTGATGACGTTACAAGACGGCTTTGCGTTGGATTTTGATAGGTTCAACAATATGGTCTATAGTGATGGACGATCTGTACTAAAATTATTCAAGTAAAAATCTACGCGAGTATGATTTATAATTAATAAGTAACTTTTTATTCATACCTAATTTGTATTTGTCGGATGTTTTGGGTCTAGCCATAAACATTTAATGACATTCAAAATAATAATTTTTGCTGCAATATCTTCAATGCTTCTAAGAATTTTCAGGCGATTCAGATGTTGCTGTTAGTTCCATCACTGACGTTAAATGCTGAGTTGGTTATAAGAGTCATATTAGCCAGCACTTTACACATTTAATTAAACATGAATGAACAAAATTATAAAATTTATCGCAAGTATTGATTGTGATATGCAATTTTATCTCTTGAATGATCATTATAAAAGCCCATCATTCATTGAATAGAGTCATTTAAGGAACGACTTAGAAATGCTGTTGATAGTGGCCACGTTTTGTGTATTACTGGCAACAGTTGGTGGGTCACCAAATGCTAAATTTGTTGAAGAATTAGTTAAAAACAATGTTTTTGGAAGCGTATCAAGCAGAGTTCTTGAAGATGCCAGATTAGATGTGGTAAGTGCATATACGAATGATATATATCGACATAAACTTAAAAATTATAACTAACAAGTCTAATATTAGGTAGTCTTTGTTTTATACTAATGAAAAATATATTTTTTAGCCCCAATTAGTTAGAAAGTATAAGTACCCCTTAGAAGAACACCATGTGATAACTCCAGATGGATACATATTAACCCTACATCGTATCCCTCATGGACGCGACAGAAACACACAATCTGGTAACAAACCAGCAGTGTTAGTTATGCATGGATTACTATGCTCCTCAGCTGACTGGGTACTCACTGGACCTGGCGTTGGACTGGGTACGTCTTCTATATTTTTTCCGACACAGATTATTGTATCTTTGTTTTAATGAGTTTAATGCCGGGTACAATTTATTCTTTCTTATGTCTTGTAAAATAACAAACACATTTTTACCATTTTTTATCATAAAATAATTTTTCAGGGTATATTCTCGCAGAGGAAGGTTTTGATGTATGGCTAGGCAATAACCGAGGAAATTACTATTCAAGGAGGCACTTGCTCCTAGATCCTAATGACACTAACAGTACCGCTTTTTGGAAGTTTTCTCTTGACGAAATGGGAAACGTGGACTTAAGTTCCTCAATTGATTATATTCTACGAAGAACAAGTAGGCCCAACCTTCACTACATTGGAATGTCACAAGGCACTACCATTTACTTTGTATTAGGATCACTTCGACCAGATTTCAGTGAAAAGATTGCGTCAGCCCACATGTTAGCTCCTGTTGTATTTAACACTGGAAACGGTAGCCCTCTTATGGATACTGTAGCACCCATTGTTGCAGCCGTTATGGTAAATAATTATTCTTGCTTTTGTACAAGCTATTTCTGAACGAAAAAAATAAATTATTGCTTTATTCGTATATTGCATATTTTATTATAAAGAAAAGCCAATATTTTTCATTTTTTTATTCCAGTTTAAATGATATTTTATTTATTTTTAGTCATGGGCAACCGATAATGGTTTTGGTGAATTATTGCCAAAGAGTGATTTGATGGCAGACATTGCTCGTAGATATTGTAGGGACGGAGTTGCAACTCAAAGTCTTTGCAGTACTATACTCTTTATGCTCGGTGGTTGGAGCGAAAGTCAACACAATGCGGTATGCCATTATTAAGCCAGCTCTAAATATTTCAATGAACCGGATTGTTTATCCAAATCATGCAAATGAAACTTAGCCTCGCAATTATAATATTTTTTTGTTCTTTTCAGACCCTTTTGCCTGTTAAACTAGCCCACACACCAGCCGGCGCCAGCTTGAGGCAATTCGCACACTTGACTCAGAATATGGCGTCAAAGAAATTCAGAAGATACGATTATGGCCCAATTCAGAATATGCTGCGCTACGGCAAAACTCAACCGCCAGAATACAATTTGCTTAACATAAAAAACCCAGTCTTTCTACATTATTCTGATGGTGATTCTAGAACAAATGACATTGATATTAATCTGTTATACGACTTGCTTGATACGACCAAAGAATTAATCCGTGTGCCAGACGATAACTTCAGTCACGTTGATTTCATGTGGGGCAAAAATGCTAAAACTGTTCTATATGATAGAGTAATAAGTGAAATAAGGAAGATTGAAAGTTCTCAAAAATAAAATAACATAAAACTAAGTTGTATTGTGTAGTTATTTCTTTTGTAGTAATAAATTTTAATTTATTCAAAGAAAAATCAAATGATTTTATATTGAGACATTAATATAGTCAGTGAATTTTGTAGTAGCTAAGGCTGTACATTTTGCTCAAGTAGGCACATATTAGTTTTAAACAAGTTTTTTAATATAATTTATAGCATCTAACTATTTTGATGATATCATTCTATTTATTAGCATTAATATTTTGCTATAAAACAGTTTTACTTTTAAATATTACATTTCCCTATAATTTAAAGCATGGCTCAAAGTAGCATCAATAAACTAATAATGTTAGTTGTACAATACAAAAGTAATTCTGAATTTACATATTTTTTAAAGAACTTATAAATGGAATGTGTACAGCTCTATATTATTAATCATGTCACGTTAATTTTGTATAGTGGTTAAAGACTAGGTTCGCTTTTTGACGATTGCAAATTTACGAATACAAAAATAGTTTAAACAAAATTGATTTCCAACAATTTGTCTTAAGTATATTCACTACAAGTTAGGGAATCTGTTGGTTCTGTAATATACATGATATTATATGTACTTTAAGTACGTACGGTTTGTTTAGTTGCTTTAGGATTCTATCTGTTGAGTTCATCTTACATTTGAACAGAGTTATTTCGCTACGAGTATAAGATAATATGGTCGTTCCATACATTGGTTTGTCATAAATTACATTTTTAATAAGAAGGTTGAGTTAATACGACATAATTATTTAATTCTTTATAATTGGCCACAGCAAATTAGGAAAAATATTATTACACAGTCTATGAGCTAGGAACAGAATCACAAAACATTTATACATTACACCAACTACAATTTTTGAATACACGGATACAATATATTTTATCGTTCTAGAGAAAAGAACATCAAATAATAGTCGCGATAAGTTGCATATTCTAAAGCACAACACTTCATTGGACAAGCATTTGAAATTACTACATGTTTTAGCAAAACGTAAGGTAATACAAACTGTCAGTTATATTTATACAATAATATATTGAATATGGGCCAAAAATATCAAATACATTTCCGTAGATGCGTTTAAAATCTGAAAATATATTCACCTCTGCAATATAAGAATTAATGTCATATTTTATAAGAAAATTTTAGCCTAAACATTAATTGACATTAAAGTACTGTTTAGGTAAATAAGAATATAAAAAATTTAATTCTTTATAAATAAGCTCTGTAATATAAAACTTTGTGGATATGGATTTTTGATTTAAATATAATTTGGATAGTAGTAGTTTGTAGACATAAGACAAAATGGCTGGACAATAGGAAACAAAATCTTTAAGATTTTTTTCATTATAGGATACATTTATAAAAAGTTTAATTATATGTTTCAGATAGTTATTCCATTCACTAAAAAAATTTCATGTAACTCTTCAAAAATTCATCCAACTTCCGGCAGGAATTGAAAATAATCACTATTACTACAATAATTTTCATGACATTATGTATCGTTTCAAAAATAAGTGACCAATTTTTTTTCCAAACCATTGATTTGTGTCATATTTGTTTAGTAATATATTTCCACCTATCAATGATGTCAATACAAGATGTAAATAACACACAAGCATTTGGCATTCGTTAAATAAATAGCGATAAACTATTACGAAAAAAACTGAAATACAAAAATAGTTCAGTGTTTTGTAAATAAAATACATTATCGTTTCACACTAAAAGCTCTAATGAAATCAAGCCGAAAAATCGCATAGAAATCTTACTTCATAAACATCAATACGATTCTACAATTGTATACACATTGAAAATTTTCACATCGATTATAAAATACTAAATATCCATAATTATTACAAATACTTAAGACTAACAATGAAAAATCAGTCGACAAGACAAGAACAAGATATGATAGAACTTCTCAACGCTCTGAAGCTCATATTAAAGCTTAGGTTGTGGCACAAAGTTTTGCGGTGAGAGCTGTGCAAGATAGGTGAGGTCAGAAGGCAAAGCCATGAGGGATATTGATAACGAAAGTAATTAAAACGAGTCTATGGTTGAGATGGGACCATTCAAACGTAGCAATTTGATAATAAACCAAATGCGTCCAAGTCTTTCTCTCAGATTGCATGCTTCTATCATTTTTTTTTAAAAGACAGAAAGTTTCTTTGAATAATGGATATCATGCAAGCATAGAATATGGCGTCTTAAATTCGGCGTTGTTAAACCTGGTTTAATGTATAGGTCTCGGCATATTAAATGTTTGATGATGGGATGAACGATTCAGATACAGAAACGCGTCTCCTTCTCTTATTTTAACCGACTTTAGCACTGATTTGACACTATTTTGTCGGAAACATTTAATGTACTTTTATAATCTCGTCATTCAAGTACGCGATACTTTGCGATCATTTAATAAAATAATCATATAAGGTGAAATTGCTACGTTTGTTCAGGTCTTACATATTCATAGAGAACTACAAACACAACAGCAAGTCTTATAATACTTGGTCGGGATTTTCTACTAGATTCTAACAACTAGGGACATAAGCTCTGAGAGTGCAGGCTATACATTAAATATACATACATATATATTTAGAAAACCAACATACGCAATATTCTCTCAATACAAGATACAGTCTTTGGTACACATTAATTATACATATACATCTATAATTTAATACTGATAAAATTTTCTTATCCCATAATACTTTTGTAAAAACCAACTCTTTAAATACATCGAAATCTTTTTAAATATACTTTTCAATAATATATTGTCGAAATGTTAAATGGACGTTGTGCAGACAGAAACAGCGAAGGATAGTTTTATATTTGTAAATACAATTGAAATTAAAAGAAAATTTATTCAGCGAATCGCAGTTTTTGTTTTTTAACGAAATCCATAGCCATTTTGTCCGTGTTTCGAGATTCCAGAATCTGCAAAATCGGGTGTCCTGTAAGATTAATAACAAGTTATTAATGCGAGCTTATAATGGAAAAACAAAACAAATGTATAAAAAACACATTCTGAAACCACCTCATCAAGAAGCTTTCCCACCACGGTTAACAAAACGACATAATACATATATATCTAGCAGCTTGAAGCAGAGCTTGAAGCGTTGAAAGATGAGGTGAGGTGAAGGACGAGGTTGAGGATGAGGACAATCAATCGAAGAATGGAAAATATGGAAGAATGTTCTATAAAGGCAAAATTTGAGGCCAAAGAGGAGTTGGTTTTTATAAAACTCCATAGGAGATTTCATCGGTATGACGGAAGGAATAACCATTCTGCATTTAATAATACCCAGCTTCAAAAAAAAATGGTCAATCATCCAAGTCTACGCACTAACTGAACAAGCTGATGAACTCGAACATCATGCAAAATCACTCATCATCACACTATCTCAAATTATATAAGTAGGCGCTTGAAACAATGATGACGAATACATACTGGAAGAATTCGGCTACGAAAAGAGATCTCCTCTTAGAACATAATCTTACAATTACGAACAGCATCTTCAAGAAGAATAAAAACAACAAATGGACATGGGTCTCCCCTGATGGAAAGTACAGAAATGAAATACATTATATTATAAGTAGCCACGCAAAGCTATTTACAGACACCGAAGTAATTTCAAGGTTAAATTTAAATACTAACCATCGCATGGTTGCTTAAATTGGCACCCCCTAAGATTCATCGAAAGCACAATAGCTTGCCTAGCAGAAGACATATCATAGAAACTAACGAACCAACATCATACCTATTAGCAACTCAGATCAGAGAAATCGAAGAAACAGAAAGACTTGACATAAGAAGTTGATTTTTTATGTCAAGAATTGACAATAAGTCAATTCTTCATTGATGGAATGGTACCCTAGATACGGAAAACCAAGAAGAGGCCGACAACGCAAAAGACGGGAGGACGAACTCAAATTAACAGCAGGCTACAACTGAAGAAGAGTCGCAATGGATAGAGAACAGTGGAAAGGGTTAGAGAAGGCCTTTGCGAAAACCGAACAGAACAGAGATGTACCTGTACTTAAATTGAAATTTGAGGACATGCCATTTTTGAAAACGTAAGTAAATTTTTACGTTACGATAATAAACGTGTGCTTTTATTTTTTACTTGGCTTTATCTTATTACGTTTTACGTAAACAGTATTATTTATATTTAACATTTCCGGCTTTACTACAAGTACAGATCATCAATACTTATGATAGTGAATACAATTAGATAACACGTGATTAGATTAAAGTTAATTAGTAAATGTAATCATTTGTTTCACTGAATTATCGTTTACATCCGACATATAGCATTATTCCAATATTTAGTCTATATCTCATGATTTATTGTCACAACATCTAGAGTATATGTACTTAGTAGCGTCATATGGTTGCGTACATTTTACTAGGATTTTAGACTTATATGTATTTGTATTTTTCTATAGTTTTCTTAAGGTACTGAAAATGTCTCTTACATATTATTTCTTTGCTCTAAAAAATATACAAAAATCAACTTTATATATTCTGGTAAGATTATATTATGTCATAGATCAGAACCAATGTATTCTCCGATTTCAAAAAAACTAAGGAGGTATACAATTCAACGTGTAATACTTTTATAATAATTTTCGTATAGTAGATATCGTCAAGGATATAAGCGAGCGAACTGTTCCAATTTGAATAAAGAAACTTCTCAATATAAAGGTATTTATTATTGTATAATTGTTATTTATAGTGTGGTTTAGAATATCCCCCATATCGTAATAAATAAAAACAAGATGCTCCTACATATTAATGTATGCTACACTAAACCAATTAAAACTTCATTTTAAAGAGTAACTAGCGACAAACCCCCGGCTCTTTTTATGGGCATGCTTGCCAAGACGAAATTGATTAGTAATAATTTATTTTCGGTTTTGATCCAAACACAAATAAACACTTACCCCGATCATGTAACTGCATAAGTGGTAGCTCTATGGGCCTCAGAGGGTCCGGCGGTGCGTGACTATTGACCCCGGGCACACGTGAGATGGGTACAAAGGCTTCCCCGGCGAAATCGTCCGCGGTCAGCACATCCCGGTCCCACACGGATAAAGCCAGGGTCGCTTGTGGTGACCGACACGCCTCCAAGGACACGGCAAACTCGAAACACTCGTCCCACACCGGGTTCAGTGTTTTCTAGTAATATTTTAAAAGGGTTATTCCAATGTAGGCTACACACAACCTCTTATTGTCATGTTTTTTTATTAATAGTTATTTTTTTTATAGGCGATCGATATAAGTGATCACTTCATTGTTTTTTGGGTCACTTCATTATTGTATTTAAGTCGGGATTTATTTCGGTATGTCAGAAACATATTGGAGCGTGGAATATGAAAGTCATAGAGCGCCCTAAGCCTCGGCTTAGAATCTTAGTCTAACACTTGCCGTTTCATTATAATGTTTTTCTTCGTAAGGATAATTGCGTACATTGAAGAATAGTAGAAGAAGAAGAATATAGTTATTTGTGCAGTGAGTTCGAACACACGATCTCAGAATGTTTTTAATACATTACATACATTTTTATTTTACAACGAAAATCCCTAAATGAAATGAATTAATTAATCTGTTATCTACCATCATAGATATAAATCAATTCGATCACGTATGCACTGTCATTATATAATAGTTGATAACGTTCGAGGTAGCTATTGCTTTATTACTTTCTAGTTTTATATTTAATTTGAATATAGAAAAACCATGAATGTTACTTAAAAATCTTTAACAAAAACACTATCACAAAGAAGTTTATATAATCTGTATGTTCTGTTCTCCATGAAGACTAAATGGAATTCATTGTGTCCAAAGGTAGTAATGTCGAGATTTAAATATTTAAAGTCGGTAATAACATTAAGGCATGAATGTAATTAAGACCTGCATTTATTGAACAACCTCCAAGGAAGCAACAACAAAAATTTAAAAGTGATTTCGGACTTTCAAAGTTCTAATTACGTAACATTATAGAACAGCTGTTTCCAAGTACTAAGGAGCGTTATTAAAATGCACAGCAGTTGATTCATAATTTAAACTCTGCCGTAATGTCTATAGGGCTGGAAGCATCAATGGTAGTGATCTTGTCACGGGGTCAGATATTGTGTAACTAAAATTTTTGATAAGACCTCGTAGACCCATAACAGAAAATGAGATCACAAATTATTGTCTTTATTTGCGTGCTACGTAAATTAAATTTAATATTTATGTTCAAAGTGTATAATTTTAATTCACAAAAAAAATGTCTATTTTTTAGTCTACCCTCAATAAATTACATTACATGCAGCAGACATACATCTGCGTAATTTTTAAAGCCAGTAGGTGACCTTTTGATCCTGATAATATTCCAGAATAATTACTGAAACTTTCGCCGAACCGAGAACGTGATACGGCATATGCGTTAACCGTTAAGTCGTACTTCGTACGTATTATTCTTTGTCATCTGAAGTAAACGGAATATTCAGCATGTATGATAAGTTTTGTCTGTAATTTATGCTTTATTCATTATTGCGTTTTAACGTAAATAGTTAAAACTTTCTCTATTCATCATTGCCAATATGGGACCGATTTGTTTAGCATGATATTAATAATGCACGTAAATATAATTTAAGAAACTTGAACGGAAAATAGAATTAAATAACGCACGCGTGAAAATTGAAATCTAGGGTTTTTTTGCTCTCTAACCAAATGAAACCTCTGAGAGGATTCATTTATTTTCCCCAAATATAGTGGCCCATTAATATTCATGAAAAGGGTTTTCTAGAACTGCGTTTTATGAATACAAAAAAATTATTATAGTAAAAAATTGAATTCTATTAATTATCTACTATAAAATAAATAATAATTCTATTTATTATATACTATATAGTAGGTACTATTATTTTATAGTAGATAATTTGTGCAATATGAAATGAAACTTTTATGAATTCAAATTTTAAAAACTTTGTAATCACAACTCATTTCTGAAAACGATTTCGAAACATAGAATTACCGTTTTAATAGAAATTATATGAATTAAAAAAAAACTTTATACCCAATTAACGATTTAAATTTTACGATAATTTAAGCGGAGGTAAGTAGCGCTTCAACCATTTACGTGTTCCTGAGATTTCAACATCTATTTCTTTGTTATTTTTTTATTTATAAGCAAGCAGATTAAACCTTATGAGTTTCCTTATCTTCTTTCGCGTAAAGTATGAAAAAAATTACGGCCACGTTCAAACACGACGGCAGTTGAAAGTAAAACGTCACTGCTGTTAAAGGTTATATCTGTAATTAAATATGCCTCACCTTTTGTACATTAGTGGTCTGTTCGTGTGTTTTGGGGAAGAGCCTCTTGGGCAGCAACTCGAGGACCACGAAAGGGTCGCTTAATCCGTTCGGATCGAGCGGAATCACGTCACGTGCCGACAGTATTTCCACACATAGAGAATCGTGATTGAAGTACACTCTGTAACAATGTTAGATAACATTTTATAACCGTTTTATTAAAAATCGTATTTGAGGACTAAGGTAAAACAGTACGTTGTTAATTGTTTACGTTTAAAGCTGAAACTACTAAACAAGTATAGTTATTGCAAATGTAATAAGTATAAAATGTGTATACCAGTAGAATATTTATTTTATAGTATTAATTAACTGTTTTAAAGAAAATCTCATATTTTAAACAAAAAATAACTTTTGATAGGACAACAATTATAGTTTCGCTACCGAAATCAGAAAATTACCCTAAGAGAAATCGCTTGTGTTGTAAGTTTTAAGGTAACTAGCCTTTAGTCGAAAAAAGTCAAATTATCATCTATTCATACGGGTAACGTTATGTCACTTATGAGTGCCAATAAAAATAAAAATCAAGGGCGTAGATCGGAAGAGACAGAACTGGCAAAAACTTTCCACTGTTTTAATATGCATAAATACCTATTTGTCCAATTTAGTTACGATCCATGTACTGAAAGTTTTCTAATTGCGACAATTTTTGTTGTGTTTAGTTCACCTTTTGATTCAATTTCGACACAAGTCACTCTTATGTCTGACTCTATAGACACGATATGCTTGATAAACCTATATTTATAACGTTAAAGAGTAATTTCTTTGAGTCCCTTGTCAAACGATCGTAATTTCTCTAAAACCTTTTAGTTCAACGTCTAGTGAAATTTGTCAGAGCCGTTCAATTACTTATTTAATCTGGCAGATTTTGAGCGCCCTTAAGTCGAAATATTGTGCTTTAATTTTTCAGATATTTCAGAACGATTAATTGCGTTAAATACTATCAAATTAGAACAATAGCGTATTATAAAATTGATAAATATTTTTTAATATACTTTGGTAAGGTATTTTGATGTCAAGGTCAAGTTATGGATTTTATCTATACATACCAAAATTATTTCGATCTTATCACGATATAGTATAAACATTTCTACTCGGCATATTTAAATCCGATCTGATGCCCGAAAGATGTTAAAAGTAAACAAATATAATGTGATAATAAAATGTTAACATTATAAATATTTTTAGTTCACAATGGCATTTACCTGATTAAGATGGACCCATAGGGCGAAGGCAATGGTGTACGCCCTTGATCTGTTAACCGGTCCTCTAGCCAAAGCTCTAGCAACTCTTCAGTTGGTGCTTGGTGATATTGCATTCGTTGTTCTAGCCGTTTCCATTCGGTATTGTGCACTTCCGTCATCGGGAGACCTAATATTATTAATTGATGAGTTAGGCAGACCCGAGGCCGAAATTTTATCTATCTATTATATCTACGATGTGTCAGCCTACAATGCTTCTTCATAAGCCTATTTATTTTAAAAAGCTATTCATGCGTGAAGTAATTAAAACTTACATTGATGACATTTATACTATAATGAATTTTGAGATTTTAATCAAACCCAAGTATAAACTACATAGAATCGTATTTTTGTTATTCAAATAATTTGTACCTTTTCCTTCAGCGTGGATGAATTCAGCAAGAAGATCCAACGCTTCCTTCAATCTGTGATGATAGACCCGGGGTTTCTCTGCGCCTCCCGAGTCTGCTTGATTCGACACCTCCTTGAGCACAGCGTTCCAACAGGCCGCTAAAGCCCTTGTGAAGGCACGGGGCAACAACCACGTGTTCAAAGACGATAGATGTTGATCCAAATACTCCAATAGTGGTGTTATTGCCTGAGGATTAAGTATCACTACTAATATCGAGTTAGGATGGCAATAAATACATTTCCGATGCCAATAAAACTTCCGTCATTTGAGCTCTCGTCGATATGTTCATGATTGTTTTGAAACATAATTAAAATTCAGACGTAGCTTTCAAAAAAGTTTAATTGCAAGTATATTCTTAATATTCCCTCGGTGTTACGATTGGGCTAAATTAACACTTTAAAAGGACCTCGATTTAAAAGCTCGACGTATAACAAAGTTCTTAAGTGGAACAAAGTGCTGCACTGTCATAACAAAATTAGTTTAAAAGTTACAGCGAGGTCGAGTTAAAGCCCTTCATAGCCTGAAAGAGTGAGGTTTCATGAAACTGTTTGACCTTTTCAAAAACTGAAGTTGGGAAACGAAGCGCCCAAGGGATTTATATCTACTTTTAACACGATATTATCTTGTTTTATTTATTGCAGAGTGAACGCTCCTCTTTTATTTGAGAGTTGAGGGTCACAAAAAGGCGAATTTGTGTTTTTAATGTTTTGATGTGTTACTTTATAAGTACTTCAATATTCCAATGTATTTAATTATTATTCAGGATATAAACAAGAAAGGTTGTCAGATTTTAAATAATTCAATTAAATACAGTAATTCGAACTAACGTTATAAAAACGGAAATAAGAATTAAATAACAAGATCTGGTTCACAACATCACATCCTACTCGAAACAAAAACGATAGTATTTTTATCTTTATATACAGGAAGGCAAAATTAAATAGTTTTGTTAGTCTTAAGTCGGGTATCTTTATCTCTTTAATTGGAAAAAGGAAACTGTTAGATGTCTTACTTATCTGAAATATAAGTTAAATCAAAATAGTACTAATTAACTATTTTAATTTTGTAAATTGTAAAAAAAACTTATTACGTTTAATTCTTAGAAATAGGTAAAATAATTTAACTTGTAGTGTTACAGAACAGCGAACAAATGTCACAATTAGTCAAGTTAAAGATTCTAATTCCCACCTGCTGTGTGGGGAGTGAGTCAGGCGACCAGGCGAGGTGGAAGACAGCCTTGCGGAGAGGGGGTCGAGCCCTCACCGCAAGCGGAACGGCGGCACGAATCGACCGACACTCCAGGGTACCCAAAGCACCGCGAACCAGTTGGCGGGAATTGTCGTCGTTAGAACTGTTCATAAGTATTATAATAATAATGTAGGATTCTATACTTAATTTGCAATTTATGAAGTATCGTTAAATACTTCAAAAGTTTTAATTCATTAGATCCCATATAATATAAGAAGAGTTTAACATAAAGAAATATCGTTTAAATCTAGATCGGCCTTCATGATAAGTTATAACACATTTTAAAGGTTACGCTAGCATACGGCATGTATGTATACATAATATTTGTTGTGTAGGTAGAATAGATAGAATAGAATCTGTGTCACTTATTAAAAAAATCGTTCATATCGTCTATGCTTTTATATTTATTGTAAACAAATCAACTCATATATATATCATCAATCAATTCACAAATTGATAATTATAATAATATCCTAACAAATGTATTAATAATTCGCACGAGCATATTACGTTTTACGATAACACTGTATATTGTGATTACAAAAATAATTAATTGATTAGGTATTACTTAAATTAATATTATCATTTGTTGCCAAAGATAAAAACATTAATGGACTTAGTAACTTTTATAATAATTCGCTATTATACATTTATTTTTCATGTTTTTGTCATAATATGTTCTTTCCGAAATAATTCATCCATATCCATCTATAAATTTGTATATAAAAAATTATATTTATTTTTTACTTGTACTATAAGGTATATATATTAAAACTTGGTTGAAGGAATCACCTTATAGCATTTAATAGTGAAGGGAGCTTACGTCTTAGCGTGATCAAAGCTGTAACGGTCTCTAACTTTACCAAGGTTTACATACTTACATCTGCTCATCGTCGTATTCAGACAGAGAACGGCGAACGTACTCCAAATTGTTAACAATTGTACAAATCTCTTCAGTTGATTTATTCTGACCTGAAAATTTAATCTACATTAAATAAATATTTTAATGACTCTATTTTACATATAAGTGTTGCCCTACTCACTGTTTTGTTTAACTAATTTTCGACATATTGTCATGACAAATACTATTTTATTAAGTGGGTAAGGTGTACGGTATAATAGAAATGTTATCACAGTAGATTAGCGGGAATCTTTATTAGCCACGTGTATTTTAGCTACGAATATATGACCTACTTGTTCCATATGACAATAACTTGCTAGAGACATTCGAATATCCAAAAACAAGTAAAGGATTTATCTAAGGACATGCTGCCCACGCCTAACACATAGTGGTCACATTAGTTCATCCTTTTCACTTAGAACTAAATACTTCATGTCAGATAAATCTATTACCAGCCTAAAAATAAACACAAAGGGCAAATATCGAATTTTCTTACGACCTTTTACGACGAAATATGGGGAACATATTCAATATATGAAGTGTGAAGGTAATATTATCATGGGCTTTTATGGTTCATAAAATGAATATTTTACCTAATAAATAACACTTTTATTTTCCTACAAATTAGAATTATTATAATCTTATTCCATGCAAAAACTAGGCATATTATTAATAATACGATTAAATAATTAAGAGCAATAGTCTAGTGGTTACAGCATACTCTCATCCCTGAGGTCCTTCGTTTGATCCACAGCTGTGCACTAATGTATTTTCTATGTGCGCATTTAACACTCGCTCCCACAGTGAAGGAAAACATTGCGAGGATAATTGCCCAATAGAAAAAACAATTGATGAGAGAAAGAGACACAGAGCTTTTTTTAATTGATTAAAATTAAGGTTATGTGTAACCTTCTTACTTCCAAAATTGTTAAATTAAACCAGTATGTTCTTAAGACAATATACACATTATCACAGGTTAATATTGTTATGTCTAAAATTTAATTTAGAACTTCATATTCCACTTTTAGACAACTGCCATAAACAAGTAAATATTTATGTATGAAAGAGCAGGGTCTCACACAGAGTGCTAAAATTAAGTGGAAGCAACACGCGTCAGGCAGCCTAGTTCGTGTTTAGGGTTTATCCTGTCATTTTCGATAACGTTTCGGGTAATAGTTGTAGGATAGGAATTGTTGTAATGCGTGGCATTCAAAATTGGAGAAAGCGAATATTTCAATAACTTCAAAGTACCACCAAAGTTGAATTCCATCAGGATAGGATTTGTTGTAAATTTAGCGTTGTTTCGATTTGGCCAACACTGCATATTTTCGATAAGGTACTATAGATGGAACTATTGGTACATACACAATATTATAGTATCTAACGATAGTTGGCAACACTGTGTTTTTCATAGTATAAAATACGAAATTAAATAATATATATAATATACGAGTTGATGTCGAACAATATCGTGACATGTTTAGATCTTTTAGTTCAAAATACCCTCATAAGCGCTAATTAAGTTGTTCGTGAAATAAATATGTCTATTAAATTTTTTCTTGTATTTTTCTCGTATAAATGTACCGTCTGTGCATAGCATGCTGAAAGCATCATGATGTCCTATCCGATGGTTTCGTTTCGTTATCTTCCAATTCACGCTAGGACCCAAGGTAAGTGAGTGAAATAAACGTAAGTGACTACAACACAGTAGGGAGCCTTCGCTTCATACGAGAACTCGTTAAGTACGGGTAAAATAATTATAAAGAAAATCTCCCATGTTAAACGAAGTGTACAAACTTGATAAATATCACTGGAACGTATATAATTGGACTCCACTTATCACGAAAGTTCGCTAATCAATATATTCCGCCCTTTTTCTCAATACGCCCAGACTTCTTAACTTAGAGAAATTAGAGAAAAGACTAAGAATATCACTGAAACTTATATAATTGGACTCCACTTATCACGAAAGTTCGCTAATCAATATATTCCGCCCTTTTTCTCAATACGCCCAGACTTCTTGACTTAGAGAAATTAGAGAAAAGACTAAGAATATCACTGAAACATATATAATTGGACTCCAATTATCACGAAAGTTCGCTGATCAATATATTCCGCCCATTTTCTCAAAACGCCCAGAGTTCTTAACTTAGAGAAATTAGAGAAAAGACTAAGAATATCACTGAAACGTATATAATTGGACTCCAATTATCACAAAAGTTCGCTGATCAATATATTCAGCCCATTTTCTCAAAACGCCCAGAGTTCTCAACTTAGAGAAATTAGAGAAAAGACAAAGAGAAATCGAAGTTCGTTTGCGACTTATTTTACCTTCAAGAAAATAATTTACCTGAATGGTTGAATAGAATATTAATCAAAGCTAAGTAAGCTTTGCATTTAAGTTAAGAAGTCAGAGCTTTATTTAAAATTGTTTGTATTTAGATGTTTCAATCCCATTTTAGTTTATATAATATTGAAGAAATTTCATACCATGGTTTTCGTAATATCCCTGGTCAGCTAATGCACCGTGAACTAAATCGGCGTAGTGCAAAGCGGTTGCACAAGCCGCCTCTAGAAGTCTCACGCTTCCTCCTAGAGTACCTTCTTCAGCCCCACCGATGGAACGCCAGACAAGCCGCATGTGGTATAAACTAAAACAATATAAAACAGTTTAAAATTATTCCTAGAGTAGGTAGTTATATAGATATAGTGTCTGTGCTTCTGAAATTTAATGCGTGTTCAATTTGCAGATATATAGACGTGTTGGAGGACGCTCGTTTTTTCTCCAACTTTGCAAATACGATTACCACCAAAAAGTAATTTCATTTTGCAAAATCGGTTTCAGTAGACCCAAGAACCCCAAGAACTTTACCTCTATAATATTAGTATAGATAAAGACTTATAAATGTAGTAACAACGACAAGGAAGTTCTTCAGCTGAAATTAGTCGATCGAAAAGAAATGGTTAGGTCAATAAAATACCAAAAAAGGCGATTGCGCGCAGTAATTCACCCTTGGGAGGCATGTGCTAAAATAATTTTAGGTAATATATTTGTATTACTGCATGTACTCATTATTAAAGTAATATTCTAGCAAAGAGGTTTTAATACACCGCCACGATACAGACTTTAATTTAGAGTGATAAAATAAGAGCGGGCCACACAATGGGTTATTGTACTGGGGATATAAGTTATTACGGAGCGCACCTGAAGCCTTCGCATAAATAGAAGTAGGATATACAGGAACATTACATTCATAGAGAGTATCGACAGTTTCAATATTAAATTCCTAATTATTAAGGTCTTTAATAATTATAGGGAATAATTATTAAAGACCTTAATAAAGGAATATTAAGGGATTTAATAATTATAGAAGTATAAGGATTTTTTAAATTTAATTATTTTAGAATAATACAATCTAATTTGAAAACTACTGTGATTTATTGTAATGTGACAATAGCAATTTTGTCAGGAGCGCAGCAAATGCATATGAAAATATTTTTTCAATAGTCTTGTATTTTTTATAATTTACTTTCGTGGTCTGTGCAGTGTACCACAGATTATTCAAATTTACTTCAAAGCTTACGTAAGGGATTTAGGTGGGAAATGCATTATATTCATGCAAACAGAAAACGCAAAATAATGTATTTAAAACATTTGCGTTATTTAATAATTTGGTCTGGTTTATTACGTGCCTCTCAAGACAGAGGTCGTGTGTTCGTACCCTATCTGTGCACCAATAAATATTTCCCGATGTGTATGATTAATACGCATATATACGGTGAAAGAAATATCAAATATATTTTCATCGTCAGTTTAAAGTAAAAAAGAATCCTCAAAATAGATACACAAATCGGTGGCCAATCTATTTGGCATAATCAAAAAACAAGTGCGAATATGTCCTCGAAGGCTAATTGGTTTCAGGAATTCGAACAATTATTCACGTCAATTATAAGTGACTCACCATGCCGCTGTATCCACTGAGGATGTGCTATGTTTCACAATGTGTTCTCCGTCAACGGGTCGATCTAAAAGTAAACAATACATCAGTAACGAGGTATGAAGGATAACTAAGTAGTAACACGTCGCTTTGAGGAATTAACTCCAAATATTTCAAGGAAATGTCTTTTGGAATCAAAGATATGATAAGAACATTTCGCGGCATCCTTTATTTGTTTCGGACCAATAAAAGCTTTCATGTTACGGCACCGTTTAGAAGGCGATTGTTATCTAAATGGGTGCCCTAGCTTGGGGTGTGAACTTTCCCCTTTTGCCCCCACCACAATTAGGTATGCCCTTTCTTTTCGAAAACAGATCTTTTGTTCGCTATATTTTAGGTACTTTTGTTCCATTATAACAGTTGTGGTAAGTCAGTAAATTGTTTTATGGAAGTAAATTTTATGGGTTTTTTTATAAAAGGCGCTTTATATCAGTATACAAAGACTATTAAATATTTTTAAATAAGAACACATATCCATATTTTATTATTCAATAATATATAAACTCGAATATCCACAATTATAAAATTTTATTACCACTAACTTTTTATTACTTAAAAAAAAAGGACAGTATGAATAGAATTTTGTAACAAAAAAAGCATCAGCAAGCAAGTATCTATCGATATAAAATCGCTGTTTTATTGTATAAAAACAATTATCAAGAAAGGTTGTCGCGAGTTAAGCTTTCTTACTCAGAACTAGTTCAACCTTGTAATTTGACAGTAGCAATTAGCAGAAATGCGTAAAGTGACACGCAAACTCCATTACAATTTCGGTAAAGTTTAATAATTATCTTAATTCAATCACAGTTCAGAAGTTGAGTTTACTTATTTTTAATAAGAAAAAAAAAATCTTTTCCGACAAATATAGATTATGCGGTGTCAGTAACACTTGACGCATGGAATCTAAGACATATTTTGCATAAACAGAACTAAAATTTGTCTAATACTGTCAAAATTGCTGTATATACAATTTATCTACATTAAATACATACATTTTCGATGAAACTCGAGGTGTTTCGTCTAGTAAAGTCATGAGTATTAGACAATAAAAATATACATACCAAGTTCTACAGCTGCTCGCACTCTTTGCAGCGCCATAGTTTTAGTGACCGCCAACCAACGATCGATTAGGGGCTCGAACCATCTGACAACATAATAACATTGTCACATATACAAGGTTTAATGGGCCTTGACTTTTAAAGAGGTGCATTAGTACGACTGGAACCTATCCAGTGTGGGTGACTCACGGTCATTGTTATTTTTATTTTAACGAAATTACGACTAGTTTTTTTTTTCTTAGATATTCCAATTAAAAGCAAAACCTTGATCAAAATAAAATAGAGATACGGCTAACATGTAGACCAATTGCAAAATAATTAAGGCTTTAAACAAAAAGCCTTAGAAACGAGCATTGACATATTTCTGTGTCTGTTTAATCGATATTTTTTATGGCAAGTAATGTAGTATCCAAAACATTATGATTCCGATTGTCGATTCCCGGTGGAAGTGATTAGTAGTGATTAGTCACCATTGGAGTCACAGAGGCGGACATAACAATATGACAAAAACATAACATATACACAGTAATCAATGAGATTCACAAAAACCATCGTTATTACCATATTATTAAAGGAAGCTAAATAGGTAATTTAAGCACAACTTTTTTTTTCCTTAAATTACTTTGTTCTTACAGAGGCCTAAATAAGGGCCTATCTTAGCCTAAAGCCTAAACTTCGTGCGTTATATATAGAAATCTACTTAGGTACTAAAAAAGTATGTGACCTTCATTCTACTCAGTTAAAGAAACATTAAAGAGTCTTCAATCCAGAATGTGTAAAAGACATTTTTTACACTAAACATATTGACTCTTAAGTTAACATTATTTTTATTAAATATTATTGAAATGTTTTATTCTACATTTAGCCAAGTGTTTGTATCATACCAATGCATCCTACTTCACAGAAGGTAAACCAGGCCTGGCAAATAAATGCGCAATTGTTTTTTTTAGAATAAAGCAAAGTCCGCTCTTTATACTTGGAATCATTGTTGACTTATTTTATGCTACTTAATCAAAATGATTGCATGAAGTGGACATTGACGGACGAGGCTTGCGATTACGCTGCAATGCGGATGATAAAAATAGCATTACAGAATATGTTTAATATCTAAATTTCATCGAATAAAACAGTTCTTTAAATTTCATCGAATAAATCTTCTTAAAAATGTTGCTTCTGTATTAATTTTTAAAGGAAGCTGCACATCTAAAAGAGGCACCCGTGTACAATAGATTCCCCATATCAATATTGAAGAACGAATGAAGAGACGGTGTTGCATGTTCTGACCGACTGTCCAATGTATGGATACGACAGGTACAACACTGAACAGGCTATGGTAATAAAAGTAACAGAGTCGAATTTAAAGAAAATAATGTTCAACATTAGGTTAAGAGGCATCTTTCTGGAATTTGCTGTAAAGGTCATACAAAAAGGTTTTAAAAGAAATAGGTAGTAGTATTCCGGGTTACCAATACCATTTACCTATGTTATTTAATACCACGCGACATAGTCGGGGAATTACCTAGAAAACAAAAATAATAAAGGTAAACTGCCAAAGGGACCAAACTTTTAAAATTTCTTTTTATTAATTTTTAATAAGTTTGATTATTGCTATGTAAGTTAAGAAAATTTTAAATACTGTAGGTTTTTGATGGTCATGATTACTAATAAATTAACTATAAATTTTATTCAGTGGTCGAAGTACATTTTTGTGTAATTTTTATAATTTTGTACTTGTTTATGTGAAAAAATTACACTTTTTTTGACAGAGTTACTGGTATAGCCTTACAAAAATATGCTTGGATAATAATCCTACTTATTGTTAGAAGCCTTGAACTTTTTTATGTATAATACTTAACAACAGACAAAGGATATTTAAAATATAATTATAATAAAATTCTTTAGATCTGACTACTATCTAATCTATTGTAAAGGATTTACCTGTCTTCTCTAATAAAATCGAAAGAGAGACTCCTACTCAGGAATAAAACTAATAAAGTATGCTTTTTATAAAGCTCAAGTGAGTTCAAAAGCTCACGAAATTTTTAAATAAATAAATGTTTATTTTATATTAACTTTGCATTTAACACTTTTTGATATAATGGACTCATTTCCATTTTATAATAAGCATCCTATTCTAACTATCAATGGTCATTAAGGTACATTGATGCAAGAAAAAAATACGCGATAAAAGTTCTACGACGGCCGACGCCCGAGAAAATATAACGTATAAACCACAGATCTATTAAAATATTAGGCAACAACACAACTTGTACCCATATATGTATATGGATTATTATAATAAACTGCTAGGGGGCATACTAATCATATTAGTGACAAATATAATATATAAAGTATATTTTTAATTACTATATTCAGGCCCAATTAATGATGTTACGTAATTTAATTACAGAATAAAATATACCAATAAACACAATTAGATTTTAAAATGTACAATGAGAGTGAGCCTTAGAGTCATTATTATATTACATTTCAATTCAAATCATTAAAATGTACCTATAGTATACATAGTAGTAGTAATGTAAGCAAAGATATAAAATTTCAAAATGTTACATTGTTTTATAAATGATTCAAGGTTAAATTTTATTTAATACCGAACAATTGTGATTTAATGCAAAGTTAATTTGGGCGAAAGAATACTATAAAACTATTAAGTATTCAGTTAAGAAATTAAAAAACTTAGGATATTAGAGTTACTTTTGTTTTTGATGTTATCGGAGCGATCATGCAAACGCTGTGTTAACAAGGTACTTTTATTCATGTTTACAATGCTGTTATACAAAGACTTAATTAAAAAGTTAACTGCATTCGGACAAAGGATTACCTTTTTTATGAATGAAGAGTAAAATTAATTCAGAAATACTCTCAAATTCAAATACAAAGAAGAAACATGGAATAATTACCTTTCTTTAAAAGGTTGCAGATGATTTATTATAAAGGTCTAATTGTTAAATTTACTATATTATGTAGATTTAAAAAGATTAGTTTCTTTTAACTATGACCACTAAAAAACGTAATGTTCGTACAATATAAATTGGTAATAACAACAGAACAATGATTAATTTTATTGTTTGTCAACTACCTATAACCAGTTTATACTGATCATCAGATAACTTCTAAAGGTCCTATAACCACAGCTAATAATATCGTTAGTAGCCACCTACACCTACCTACCTCGCGACAAAAAGTTTGGCACAAAAAATAATTGCGCATGTTTAAAATGTCACTTGTCGTTAGCAACTACTCCTGCGTACTTGAAATATTATCGGTAACATTCACGGGCAATGTTCAGTTGATATTTAATTAGTCTTTTTATTTACAGCGTGGATGATATACTGTGCCGATTCAAGCTTTGCTATGACCTTCATAAGCGTAAATATCAGCTTCCTGGACAGCCTTTTGGCACCGGTTTATTAAGTAGTACGCCCTTAAAAAACTAAGTGGGATTTGTATAAATACGAAGCACAATTCTAGTCAGATATCAGTCGATCCCAGTCGAAGGATATTATAACAAGATGTTCAAGTGTGTAGCAGTTGTCGCTTTCCTCGCCGTGGCCGCCGCGTCACCCAAACCCGATCCAGCCCTCATCAGTACCGTTCCGTTGGCCTACTCTGCCGGATTCGGTCCTGCCTACAGTGCAGCTAGCCCCATCTACAACCCAGCTCCTGTTGTCTACTCATCCCCCGCTTATGCCTACTCTGGCAACTACGGTTACCCACACTTTATCAAGAAACGTTCTGCTGCTCTGGTCAGCAGCTACTACGCATCTGCCCCCTGGGCCACTACCTACGCCGCAGGACCTTTGGCCACCACCTACGCCGCTTCTCCACTAGCCAGCACCTACAGCACCTACGGCTCTTCCCTGGTGCACGCATCTCCATTATACTCCAACCCTCACTTCATCAAGAAGCGTGCTGCACCCTTGATCTTCCCATCAGCATCCTACATATCACCAGCGACCTACTCTAGCGGACCCCTCGTCTCTGCCTACTCCGCATACTCTGGCGCTGCCCCTATCTACTCCTCCCCCTACTACCAAACTTCTCCCCTCGCCTACACTCAATTCATCAAGAAGTGAAAAGTTCTAAGGACTCCCTCCTCCATCCTTTCAGCTTCAAAAACTTTCTGGACACTAGCAACTTAAACAAACGTGCCTAATGTCAATTCCAAATGATGTACATAAAACCTGTATAGAATGAATAACTACGTTTGTGAATAAAAGTCTCCAAATACAAATATTTTCTTTAAATTTACCACAACGCTAACTTAATTCAAGTTGATTTCATTTACCTTTTGTATTAAAACGACGTCAGTGAGATAAACCCATCATTAGTGATCGTCATTAGTTTATGTTTAGACATAAATTTAAATTTCAAGTAGCATACTTTACTAGGAGAATAAAACAGTTGCTGTGTTTTATATTACACATTTTGGAATAACATAAAAAAATACATATGTCTAACGTAAAAGAAATTATCGTTATGTATCGTTATATATACTTTGCCTAACAACATGCTTTTTTATTTTTTTAAATAATTATAAACGTTTTGCGAATTTTCAAAATTAACAAAAAATAAAAGCACAATAATATTTTATTATTATTATTCAAGCAAGTCATTTATATACAGCTTCTATATATGTTCAACTTACTGGTAGGCATCAAGCAGTTGTGGTGGTGGGTCGTGCGGGTGAGGCAGCGGCGCAGGTGCAGCGGCTGCACTCAGCTCCCTCACTGCTGCTAGTACTTCGAATGGCAACGTTTTTGCTGCTACTATGTTGCATACTGTACAAGGATCTTAGTAAAAGTCCAAGATAAACAACGCTTGTAAAAATGTACTTATAATTGGGACAAACACATGTTGTCCTTGTTTATATAAATCTTAATATATATAAATTACGTGTCACGTTATTTGTCTATGGACTCCTAAACTACCGATCCGATATCAATTAAATTTGCAAACCGTGTGCAGTTTGATCTAACTTAAAAGATAGGATAGCTTACATCTCAATTTATTGCAAAATATTTGTTTATTATTTGATAGTCACAATTCTAACAGATGGCGCTGTGTTGAAAGTACCAACGTTTCACATAAGCAACAAAGTCGTTTCAATCAAAAATTAAGATCAGCTAATCGAGAATGTAGTTTGACACTTCACCTACCTTCCAAAAACTCACCTTAAAAATTATACATAGAAAATTGTCATAGATAAGTACACTAAATCATATTAAAGAATATTATATTATATGTAATCCTAATACTTTATTTTTATAGAACAGAGGGCAAACACCTGATGTTAAGTGAATAAGTGATACCGTCGCCTATGGACACTCTCACTGTCAGAAGGATCACAAATGCGTTGACGGTCTTTTAAGAATTAGTATGCTCTTTATTAATAATGGTTGTGTATAATGTACTTGTACCGTGTACATCATAGCCTTCCTCTTCAGCGACGCCGCACCAGCCTTCGGAGATCCAGTGCTCGACGCATTGCTTCACATCTTCGGATACCTTGAACAAATATGAAATATAAATGTAGCAGAACCCGATTTTTTTAAAACTTGTAATGTTTTTAAAGTTTTGGTCTCCACATTAAATAATGTGTAAATTAGTTTTTAGATCGTGCACTAAAATACGAAAAGTTTTATCTCATGCTGAGTATTTCGTACGATTCGCGTACTTGATTAAAACAATTCATATTTTCTCTTGTTCTCAGGACGTCACGGCTTAAATGCCAAGCCCTTAGGCCCGCCTTCCACTGCGAGCGGAACGGACCCATTACGGACTCCGCTATACTCGTAACGATGATTTTCATACCTTATTATTTTATTTCCATGCCTAGTTACTAATTCACGATTCACAATTCTGTCGTATGTTAAAGCCGACCGGAATATTCCAGGGTGAAATTTTGAGTCAAGATTTGGGGCTAAGTTTGATTTTTTGATGAGGAGTTGAAGCGAAAATCTATCATCAATGCAGTCCTAATAATGATGACGTAAAACATAAGAATGCTAATTTATATTAATCAATTAGGAGCGTAAGATCAGTAAAGTAAAATAAAAGTATATTTCTTTACTACTTATTTGTAATTTAAATCAGCGCCTAAAGAAAAATACATATTTATGTACGGGAAATGGTTTGGAAGGAAATTCTAGCCGCCCACGTAGTCTCGTTGTTTTAACAGTATTTTGGTTTTATAGCATTCTTACAACGGTTTGCCTGTCGTAAAAGTGCCTTGGATAAAGAATCTATTGTAGTGAGATAAGTAAAAAGAATTTTCGCTTATGTTTCTTTGAATTTGGTTAGACTTGAAACATATCGCCTTTTCAAACAAAATGTAACATGAAAATGGGCGAATGTTTTGTGCGACGTAAGCCTTATACTTATATAAGAACAGCTTTCTACTTCTTAACTTAATATGAATATAACTAGTTTTTTCATAATAAATATTTGAACCATTTTTATCAATAACTAAAAAAGGTGATTACGAAAAACATTAAAGCAATTACTGCATAAACTATTTTAACTAAGGAAAAACAATATAACGTGTTATAATATGAATCTTTACACTATAATTTCACTAATTTTCAGTTATGTTGTAATTTATGGGCTACTAATAGTTGCTGTAAGTAACAATAAGCACGCAAATGCTTACATTATGTAGGAACGTCGACCATTTTAGATTGTGTTTGTAGATAAATAATATTGTACATGTCTGGGCTGCCCACAAGACTTGATCCGCTTAAAAAACCAAAGGAGCTCAGCGTACTTATTCTTAAAATAGTTCCTACTTCGATCTATCATTTAAAATTGAGTTTTCGTGCCACGTTATTCCAAGTTTTCGTCATTAAATTTCAATTTAATGGGAACTCTGGGAACGATGATAAATATGAGCTATTAGGAATGTAGGAAATATCATGTAATTTAAACTCTAATCAATTAGATTAATATAATTCTTAAGGCACAAATCTGGGAAGATGCTTTTTAATACATCATCTAAACAACGCCTATAGTTTTTTCATTTTAATTTCATTATAACTGAAATAATTCACTTAAGTAATGACATCGAAAGTAATATATAGATAAATAAATATACATTTATAGGTATGACTCATCGAATAAAAACTGGACCATTTAAGATTATTAAAAACGGGAAAATTGATGAATACGGCGCAATTCTGCGATAAGAGCAAAAAATAATCAATCGTAGTCTCCTTTTTGATGAATTCCGCCAAATCAGACAATAACTTTTACTATTATATATACGATTATTTTACGCACAACGGACAAAATGGGCGTCTAAGTGCGGAAACTGAGCCCACAGTATACAAAATATTCTTTATAACCGTTGGTTTAACTACGAATAAAACAACTTTGAATTACCAGAAATTTGGAGCGATCAGTCATTCGAATAACGAGCAGTCGAATGACGAGCTCACTAACCGTTAATTGATCAATCGAGGTTTGTTACAACTCGGGATATAGCTTCCAGTATTAAAACTGTTTGATTTGCAATATAGTACGAACCTTAAAATCCTTGTGGAAGCGTTTAATATCTCATTAAAAGATATTACCAGAAATATCAAGCGGCAATTCGTACTATTAAAAAAAACTTTTTAGGTCTGGGCCTCAAATTTCCGTATAAGTTTCGTGATCATTGTTTTTTTTCTAATATGCAAGTAGATCAGTCTTCTGCTATGCCTGTCACACGCCGTCGCCTTTTTGGGTCTATCCGTCATGTCGGTTTCCATAACCCTACAAGCGAGTGTTAAATGTGCAGACAGAAAGTCCATAGCCGGGAATCGAAATTACGACCTCAGGGAAGAAAGCTGCACACTTAAGCCAACACTGCTCAATTATATAATAAATAATGTAAGTGTGACCAGTTGCACCTGCTCCATTGCATAATGAGTTACATTAGCTTAAAGTAAGCGCACGCAAGCAAATTTGTTGTCAAACCATTATTTCTTCAGTACTTCAAACCTTCATTCATTCTTGTTTTACTTAGAGTTCAGTCCGAATTAAATAATTATTGCGGTCATACAAACATACATATTGTTACCAAAACCCCCCCCCCCCCCCTTTTTTTTTTTTTCCCCCCCCCCCCCACCCCTTCCCCCCCCCCCACAATTTTTTTTTCCCCTCCCCCTTTTTCAAACCCCCCCCCCCCCCCTCCTAATTTCCCCCTTTTTTCCCCTTTTTCCTTTTTTCCCCTTTTTTTCCTTTTCCCCCCCCCCCCATCAAAACCTTATTCCCTTCCTTCCCCCCCTTTCCCCCCCCCCCCCCCTTTCCCCCTCCTTCCCCCCCCCCCCCCTCCCCCATTTTTTTTAACCAATTTTTTTTTCTTTTTGGGAAGGGAGGAAAAACCCCCCCGAGAAGGAAGGGAAAAACCCCCCCCCCCCCCCCCCCCCCCCCCCCCCCCCCCCCCCCCCCCCCCCCCCCGCGGGGCAAAGAAAAGTAAGGGCGCCCCCTCCCCCCCCCTTTCCCCCCCCCCCCCCCCCCCCCCCCCCCCCCCCCCCCCCCCCCCAACCCCCCCCCCCCCCCCCCCCCCAAATCCCCCCCCCCCCCCCCCCCCCCCCCCCCCCCCCCCCCCCCCCCCCCCCCCCCCCCCC